TCTCAGCAAGTCTTCCAGGCTGGTCTCAAGCTGAGGAAAGGCTTAAGGAGACTGATGCTGCAAGGCCACCAAAGGGCAGATGTTGAAAAAACGGCTGTGGCTTGTTCCTGAAGGAGCAGTGGGAACCGCAGCTGCTCTGCTCCTTCTGTGGAGGAACGTCCTTCAGGAGGGCTCTGCGCCCTTCCACAGCTTCCCCGGAGAGGTGCAGATGCACTTGACAATCAGCTCCCCAGAGAGAAGTCCTCTGTGCTCACGGGACAAACAGCGAAACCAAAGCCGGTCCCAGAAAGAGGGTAAATAAAGACCAGATTTGATCAAACCTTTACTATCTCATTTTGCAATTTTACTGCTTGCTCTTATTTCTGGAGAGCAGACAGATGCTAATGTTCCACTTACTGTGATACAGCAAAGAGGGTAGTGGGCTCCATGTCACTGAGCCTGGGCTCTAATTCCACATCTGCTACTTACTGACGACAATACTAATACTACTACTACTAATAATAATAAAATACCCTTCAATACCTGTGTTGGGGCTTTTGGGTCATTTTTTTTTTAATTATTATTTTTTTATTGAGTTATTGATAGGTTACAATCTTGTGAAATTTCAATTGTACATTAATGTTTGTCAGTCATGTTGTAGGTGCACCACTTCACCCTTTGTGCCCACCCCCCACCCCACCTTTCCCCTGGTAGCCACTAAACTGTTCTTGGTCCATAGTTTTAAATTCCTCATATGAGTGGAGTCATACACAGATTATCTTTCTCTCGCTGGCTTATTTCACTTAACATAATTCTCTCAAGGTCCATCCATGTTATTGCAAATGGAATGATTTTGTTCTGTTTTGCAGCTGAGTAGTATTCCATTGTATATATGTACCACATCTTCTTTATCCATTCGTCTGTTGATGGGCACTTAGGTTGCTTCCATGTCTTGGCTATTGTAAACAGTACTGCAATAAACACTGGGGTGCACAGGACTTTTGGGATTGCTGACTTCAGGCTCTTTGGATAAATATCCAGTAGTGGGATGGCTGGATCGTATGGTAGTTCTATTTTTAGTTTTTTGAGGAATCTCCATACTGTTTTCCATAGTGGCTGCGCCAGTTTGCATTCCCACCAGCAGTGTATGAGGGTTCCTTTTTCTCCACAACCTCTCCAACATTTGTTGCTATTAGTTTTAGATATTTTTGTCATTCTAAGGGGTGTAAGGTGATATCTTAGTGTAGTTTTGATTTGCATTTCCCTGATGATCAGCGATGATGAGCATCTTTTCATGTGCCTATTGGCCATCAGTATATCTTCTTTGGAGAAATGTCTGTTCATGTCTCCACCCCATTTTTTGATTGGGTTGTTTGATGTTTTGCGGTTGAGTTGCGAGAGTTCTTTATATATTATGGATATTAAGCCTTTGTCAGATATATGACTTGCAAATATTTTTTCCCAGTTAGTGGGTTGTTTTTTTGTTTCAATCCTGTTTTCATTTGCCTTGAAGAAGCTCTTTAATCTGATGAAGTCCCATTTGTTTATTCTTTCTATTGTTTCCCTTCTCTGAGAAGGCATGGTGTCCGAAAAGATCCTTTTAATACTGATGTCAAAGAGTGTACTGCCTACGTTTTCTTCCAGAAGCCTTATGGTTTCAGGTCTCACCTTTAGGTCTTTAATCCATTTTGAGTTTATTTTGGTGAATGGTGAAAAAGAATGGTCAATTTTCATTCTTTTACATGTGGCTTTCCAGTTTTCCCAGCACCATTTGTTGAAAAGACTTTCTTTTCTCCATTGTATGCCCTCAGCTCCTTTGTCAAAGATAAGCTGTCCATAGATGTGTGGTTTTATTTCTGGGCTTTCAATTCTGTTCCATTGATCTGTGCACCTGTTTTTGTATTTTGGGTCATTTTTAACTCAATCCTCCAATCTCTTTATGAGAAGAATACCATCATTATCTCAAGTTTACACATGAAGAAAATGGGGCTTAGGTAGGTCCACACTTGCCCAAAGTGACAAAGCTGGGAAGTGAGATTAGGAACCTGACCCTCTGGTCCTGCCCTTCACCACTCTGCGACACTGGCTCCTCAGCCAGCTCCCAGGTGCCCCTGCCGACCCCACAGAGCTGTGCCGGGGCTAGAAGGAAGTAGCTGTGGGAACGTTAAAAAAAACCCACCCTAACCAGAATTTGCAATAGTTCCAAGAAGAATAGAACTGTGCCAAGACCAATGAGGGTCTGTTCAGTTACTGGTCAATCCTCTTGACAACAAACTATTAATATGGGATGGAACAAAGTCTAGTGTGCCCCGGATGTCTTATAATGAAATATCGCTTAAATAACTTGTTGATCAGTCACTTTAAAGAGTCACTAAAGTGTCTTTAGTCCCTTTTCCTGTTTGCAGGGATCTTTGCTGTTGTACCATTTACTGACCAAATGTCACCTCTATGAAAATGGTGAATGTTACCTAATTTAAAAAGCAATTTTCAGATGGCAACTAGATTTTTGACGGTGAACATGATGCAGTGTATACAGAAGTCAAAATACAATGGGGCTGGCCCCGTGGCTGAGTGGTTAAGTTCGCGCGCTCCGCTGCAGGCGGCCCAGTGTTTCGTTAGTTCGAATCCTGGGCGCAGACATGGCACTGCTCATAGAACCACGCTGAGGCAGCATCCCACATGCCACGACTAGAAGAACCCACAACGAAGAATACACAACTATGTACAGGGGGGCTTTGGGGAGAAAAAGGAAAAAATAAAATCTTTAAAAAAAAAAAATACAATGATGTATACCTGAAAATCATATAATGTTACAAACAAATGTCTCCTCAATGGAAAAAACCAAATTTTTTTAAAAAGCAATTTAGTTCCATTTTCTTGGTTTAGTGAATACTAACGGAGGCATACTGGTATATGGTGACGTCCATGAGCATTGGGGTCAGACTGCCTGCCCTCACACCCCAGGAGCGCTCATAATTATTAGTGTGCCCCATGAACATGTCTTCAGCTCTCTGAGCCTTGGTTTCCTCACCTATAAAGTAGGACAACAACATCTACCTGATTGGGTTGCTGGAAGGATGAAATGGGACAGAGCATGTAAAGAGCTTAGCGTAGCTCCAGGCCCAGAAGACATACTGAGGTAAGAGACACTGTGATTACTTCTTCTCCTTTTCTTAGATAAATTTCCTTAGGTGTTCTCTGGTACAAGAGAACTGAAGTCAGGGTCAGTCAAATTGAGTCTTTGCCTCAGGGAGAATATTGATCCAAATAAAGGCACACACTATCGCATAAAGGAAACTCTTAAGCTTGATCTATTTGACTCTGATTTCCTAGTCTATCCTCAGGCATAGGAAAACAAATGTAAAATATTCAAATAATTAATATTTCATAGATAAAATTAAATATAGCATCATTACAAACACGCACACACACAAGTAGATGTGATATACTGAGGAACGTGTCAGAGTTGGGGGGGTGGGCAGTAACTGCCTTGCAGGGTAAAGCCTCAGAAAAGGAGCAGGGAAGGACGCTCAGGGCTGCCCACAACTGCTCAGATCTCCAACCAGAACTGCACAGACAATAAAAATTTTCCTTCTTAATGATCTCAACTTTACTCTTCCTTTGTGTACAGCACATTAAAAAATGGATGAACTAAGCGTGTTAGAAAGGAGGCAGAGATATTTCTTTTTTCCATGCTGTCTTGGGTGGAGGGGTCTAGTCAGTTGTCCTTGTTGATAATCTGGAGAGAGACCACCAGGGTTGAGTGTGTCACACTGCCTCCAAATGCAGTCTGGCCTAGAATGAGACCTCCGTTCTGGGAAGCCTGCTACTGCCTGGCAGACTTCCAGAATGGACTGCAGCCCATTAACTGGATGAGACCAGCAAACACTCAGAAGCAAAGAGAGAAAAAATATAATCAAGACTCAGCATCATCTAATGTTGATGGTCCTTAAAATATACGTTTTGTCTGACAGAGAAATAGCCATCCCAAACACAAAATCTCCACTACCCCAAATCAAGAAACAGGTCACATCTGTTAGCAGCAAGCACAATAAATAACAAAACTCACCTGGCTTCCCCATCGTCTCCCTTTAAAACAATCATCCCTTGTCAGAACAGACAAAATATCTTCCATCTTAATCTCAGAAACACTGTAAAAGGAAGGGTAGATCAAGGTAAACTATTTATTCTTTCAAAAACATCCAGAATCTTGATGCATAAAACCGACCTGTTCTCAAGCTAACTAGACAAAGTAGAAGCTACAGTTTCACAGGGAAGGGAATATTGTCCTAAACCTTTAGGAATTTGGAAGGAAGGAGATCTCTATGATATCACAGGGACACATAGGTAATATTCCCAACAATTTCCTTCCTCCATGATGAACTTTAAATAGGCTACATTTAGAATTTCCTTTATAGGGATCATGTCATTATTTCTGAATAATCTCAAATACTAAGTAAGTAGGCCTGTTTAGTGATATACCAGCTTGAGCAGATGATGAAATAGAAAACATTTCAGATAGTCCCTTTCATTTTATTCTTAAAAAAAAAAAAGGATGGCTAAAGGTCCTTAACTGCTAAGGCAAACACCTCAATGACGGCTGAGTGACCAGCACCTCCTGCGCATGGCACCAGAACTCTGTTCTACTCTGTCCTGAAGAATCTTCACCATTCGTCTCTTAATTATTAACAGGTGAGAACCAAGTGAGCGCTGATGAATCTAGAGCTATGTGTACATGGCTGGAACCAGAATTTGGGCTTCACTCACGAACAGAAGCCGTCACGAGCCAGAACAACATAGTCCAACCTGCCTAGCTGTGGAGTCTGGAAAGCCTATGCTTCACCTACTATTCTGTAAGGCCACTGCATCTGAATATGGGAAATGCATGCAGAATCATGTCCTAGAGACTAAGGAGGAAATACAAACTGCTGAAAACATACTTCCCAGGGAGAAAGGGAAAGGGAAGGAGGAGTTCTGGGGGAGAAAAACAGATTGTAAAGAGATAAGCAATTTTCTTGTACTTTTTTTTTTTTTTTTTAATGTAACAGCAAATTAAAACATGAATGGCAACCTCTTATGTGGGAGAAAACAATTCTCCCCCTTTCCCCTAAAGGTTACTCTGACAAAGCTATGAATGAAAATGTCACGTTTCTGACAGCGATTCACCTGAAATGCGTCACCACTTCCCTGAACACCCCCACCCTCCACACTCTCTCTGCTGCCAGCTCGCAGCCCTACGGGTACGTGAAATCTTTATACAGTAGCAAGAGTCAACTGAAGAAGGCAGGGTCTGTATGGGAGGGCAGGAGTCGGGGGGAAAATGCTCATGATTTCATGGAAAATCTATTTTTCATATGGGAGAGAAATGTTACAGCTACTGAATTTGCCTCTTATTCATGCCTGGAAACCTGAAGGAAGGTGAAAACACAGCCCAGTCCTATCTTTTTCTTTGTCTATCTGACTTGCTTCTACTCATCACTTTTTTTCCTTGAGAAACAAAAGTGGAGAAAACACCAAAGTAAAACAAACCTAAGAACTTGGGGTCAAATCTTGAAGCAGGGAGAAAGAAAAAAAGAATAAGGCCATTCACAGTCCAGGATACAGAAAACTAAATATGCCACAGAAAGGCAGGTTTCCCCAATGCATGGGAGCGTGGACATTCCAGCCAGGGCACGGCTCAAACGCTGTGTGTGTGTCCATATGACAACATTGGGGGACCATTCACCCTGAGTGAACAGGAGCTGAGAAGGAATGGGAGTGATTTACAGTTTAAAAGGGACTTCCTCCTATTCCGAGAAATCGTTGCTTCTGAGGAACAAAGCAAATCTACTCTGCTTATTTATGGTTCTATCAACAGATCTGAATTACTCCACCTTACTATGAAAAGAGATAAATAAATAAATTCAGGGAACTGTCTTATGCCTGATCTAAGAAATACATGTTTTGGATGAAGCATTTACATTTTAATAAACCAACGATGACTTTCATGAGAAACACGTTTAAAGGAGAAGTGAAAAAAAGCTAAGAAGTTGGCAAACACAAAGAAGTCAAGAAAAGAGGTAGAAACGAAGTTCGGAGCATTTAGACAGAGGCGGCCACAGCCCAGGGCACCTGTCTGCCGCCCCGTGAGCTAAATTAAATTGTCAGGGTGAGTTCTGCAGCGCCTGGTGTATGAAGGCAGGCAGCAATTTGTTGTGATGGCCCTTGCTGCCGAGAGCCTCTGCTGCCTTCCTGAATCTTCCCTGTAATTCATCAGCCACTCCAGCACCCCGCTGCCTGGCTCTCAGGTACGAGACATATACACACTTCTTCCTCCTCCTCTTTTTTCAATATTTAGGAGTGCACCTTTTGGATTCCAAAATGGTCAAGTCTGCTTCTTTCCACTGCATACTCTGCAACTAGTTCTTATTAGATGTAATTTTTTTCGTATTAAGTCAAAGAAACAGTCTGTATATAGATATCCAACACACAGTCCTTCCTCAAACAGAATTCAGGAAGGATAACACACGGTTACAGCATCATAACTTAGGTTCTGATATTTATTTAGGTCGACCACATCTAGCCCATGATGCAGGCACAGGCACTTCAACAGGTGAAGGTTCAGGGCAGAAAGCAGCGAGGCTGGACTCCTGCTGGACTCACTGCCCTTACATGAACGTTCTTACAGCGCCTGTGTATCCTCTCACACAACACCCCAATCTCTTCCTCTCGGGATTTCCCCGTCTTCAATCTTCCGAACTTCCTCTCCATGTCCAAGGCCCCGGCACCACTGGGTCGTCTCCCGAATGGGAACATCACCTTGATTCTTCCACGAATGCTGCTGGCACACTGTTTTTCCAGCTGAGAGCATCACAGAGGATGAGTGTTTTTATATCTTTAAAATATATCTGGCTCGCTAATAATTCGTGTTGGTATTATTATTTTCCCTTTTCCATCTTAGGTTTATATCTGAACCTTTCATAGCAAACAACTTGAATGAGTGTACTAAAGAAAAGTGACGGAGCCAAGAGGCAGAGGCTGTGCTGATAACTCTGGTGCCGGACAATTATCGTTTGACCTCATAACTGTTGGCACTCATTCTTCTGAGGAGAAGAGCACGTCCGAGCGAACGAGCACGGGAGAACATCCAGGGAGCCGCTGACGGGAAGGATGGCAGGAATGTGCACTTGCAGGTCTAGGACGGAAGGTGGAAAAGACGCTGTGGAGTGAGAGACAGGCTGCTAAGCTGCACTGACTGCACTTCCTCTTGGGGGATGACAACACACAATTCTGAAAACGCTTTCCACAGGTACATAGATTCCTATGACAGAGAAAAAAAAGCCACCGTGCTGTGACGGGCTCCCTGCCTGCGAGAACAGGGCGAGGGAAGACAGGAGAATGGGTTACGCCAACGGATTTTCATTTCAACCCCCCAGTGTTTCTGGAATACAACTGCCGGATTGGGTGCCGGCCTAGACACTGAAAGGGCCGCAGAGAGAAGGAGCAGCCAGCCTCCAGCCCCAGGGAACTTAGACTCCAGCTGGAGATCAACCTCTCCAGCCAAAGTGATCGACCAACTGACATGAGATTTCTCCCACAAGTAAGATAAAATACGCGTATCTTCCTGAAATAAAAACTACACTTTCAACTGACAACTTATATTAAGATGAGACACATTAAATAAAAGGAAAACCCAAACCATCTTCATTTTGACCCATTTGAAATTATTACCAGATTCATCAGGAGTGGTCCCTGCCTCCCTCAACACTGAAGGAGGCAAGGCACACTTTCAGAGTAAGCTACAGTCCATAGATGTTCCTACTAGCAACCTTGAGAGTGTCGCAACCTCTGACTGGGTAGGAGAGAGAGCTTTGTAGGGTAGGAAACATGGCGGGAACTGGTGAGGACGGCCACACACAGCTCTCTAAGGAGGGCTTGACTCAGTCCTGTGGTCCTCCAGACCAGGTCCCCATGCCATCTGCCTGGACATTTAAGTTCAGATTAGAATGCAACGATTTTCCCAACTCCTAGTGTTATTGGCTGCTTTGCATAATATATAGGGCTGGGCAAAGAAAAGCTCCAAGAAACGACACCCTCACATTCAGCCACACAGCTGAGTTGAGCGCCAGTGTCACAGCATCAGTTCTAAGTGGCACTCAGCAGCCATCGTTGTTTCCATGCATGGCGTGGATCACGTCCCTCCATCTTGGGCATACATACAGCTCTTCCTGTGCCCCCAAAAACATTTCACGCATCATTGTGCTATGTCTGAGCAGAAGAAATTCTTGAAAGTACATCAGTGTGAAAAACTGCATGCCTTTAGAAGCTTGTTATTTGAACTTGTTATTTCAGGTGCCGGAGGTTTTATGGAAAACACGACAAAACAAATTCATCTCTGTGGCCCTGGTGAATTCTTTCTGCTTTCATTACAATTTCTCCTGGCCATGTGGAGTCACTGCTGTGTCTATTTGCTTTCTCTGTCTTTCTTGAGTGAGAGCAGGGTTTGATGGAAGCCCCTGTCTAAGGCTCCATGCTGCCGAGTCCTGCTGAGCCTGCCATCCAGGGCCGCAAATGGGGGCTTTTGCAGGAGACAGTGAGGTGCTGCCATTTGATTGGCACGAACAAGATGGCGACTGGACAGTCTTGGCTGCGAGTGTATGGTGCATATTTCAACTGCCTCTAAATGATTTCTTTCCTGGGTTTATCTTCCTGGGAGAGGGGGAGTTGTGTGATGAGAACAAAGTAATACTTTTCAAAGACAAATCAGCTTTAAAGGTACAAAATGCTAATTGCAAAAAATAAAAATTGCGAATAGAAAAGATCAAGCACCTGGCTGTGAGGGTTGTGCACACTTATTTTACAGTAAGAGAAACGAAACACAGACATCTGCCTTAAAGAAAAACGGAGCCCAACAGATCGTTCTATGACTTAGTCTGGCAACACAATGGAAATTGTCATGTGCTGATGGTATTAAGGGTTTTAGTTTTTGCCACTGGCTATTCTGGGACTCATTTAGGGATCACAAGGGTTAATGGCTCTTCGTCAGCTTACAAGGCCCATCCACTGTAAAAAGCGACAGAAAGTTAATTAGGTGAGATCAGCCGAAACCCCGTTCAGGTTTCTGACTCACTTGATTTTGTGAGAAGCCAACGAGTTGACATATTCTGCCTCCGAAGGAGCCAAAATGAGCAGGCTGCTCCCATGGCAGCCAATCCGGGCGGTTCTCCCAATCCGGTGGATGTATTCAGCAGGTGAAGACGGAGCGTTGTACTAAAAAGGGTAACAAAAATGAAGGCATTCACAGATCAAGAGATTGCCATTAATTGGAAGTGCAATACCCCTCACCTGCCTCCAGGTATCCCCAGAATTAAATCCTGGTGCTATGGTTACCCTAACACAATCACAAGAAGTCACTCAACCCTGAAACTCCTGGCTTCATTGGAAATAACAGGGCTCTGACACGCAGACGCGAACAGTGGCCAAGTTTGAGATAAACGAGATGTCTTCTCATCCCAATATCTCCTTTTTAATTTTACTTCTCCACAGGTCTCTTCATTTTCCTATTTGCATCTTTTCACTGAGGTGACTGTGCAAGGTGAAAACGTAGGCAGGTGGGGCTAAAATTCTGCAGGATGACCACACGACCTTGGCCTACTTCCTTGGTAGACAAAGCAGTGGGGATGAGGGCACAGAGGACACCGGCCAGGCTAAGGAGGAAGGGGCTGATTACTCTGATCACAGAGTTCAGCTCTGCTGCTGGGCCCCCAGGAGGGGTTCCCTTCGCACAGGGACATGCTTCTCCTCCCATGGAAAGCATTCCTGACTTGGGGAACGGACAGACTACAACTCAGCAGAATGGACTATGCACAGCATTGGGTGTTCTCTATGGCAATAACTTCGTCATCGTTAAAACTAATTGACTGGGCCGGCTGGTGGCGCAGCAGTTAAGATCACACATTCCGCTTCTTGGCAGCCAGTGGTTCGCCAGTTCAGATCCTGGGTGCAGACATGGCACTGCTTGGCATGCCATGCTGTGGTAGGCGTCCCATATATAAAAAGCAGAGGAAGATGGACACGGATGTTAGCTCAAGGCCAGGCTTCCTCAGCAAAAAGAGGATGACTGGCAGCAGTTAGCTCAGGACTAATCTTCCTCAAAAAAAAAAAACAATAAAAAAAACCACACAAACTAATTGACCATCTTTTCATTCTTGTTTTTCTTTGCTGCTACACAAATCAAAGATCACAAGGCCAAGATGAATATGTTATATTCCACATATTTTATATATATACATATATACATATATATATATATGGAGGCCAGGCATATTAAACTAATCACTAGTCACTATATAAGAAGGCTCTATGATCAATTTTGTGTCTGGCCTCCCACACATTAAAATTATCCTTGCCTTCTTATCTTTAATTTGCTCTGTGGCCAGCAGGAAAGAAGACACGATGCCTTAGTCGCAAAGTGACCATCTTCAGTGAGCAGATAGGATTTCCTAGCCAGTGACAGGCATGCAATTCCACTAAAATGTGAATAAACCATGACTCACGTAAACAGGGCACGTGTCCCCTGGTCCCTACACAGAATGGCTGAAAAATACCATTCTGCAGACTAACGAAAAGAAGAAAAAAATCTAAAACCACTAGACTCTAGTGCTAACACCTGTACCCTCTGGCAAGGCGTCTAAGGCTGGAGGTATGTGTAAGATGCTGTCAGGGACTTAATTGCCCCCTGCAGGTCAATGTACACGGACATGGCTCTCAGGACAGCTGAGCCATCTCCTTCTGGACACAATGAGGCCTCCCAGGAGCCAGGGTAATTCCCATTATTTTCAGATACTGAAACTGTGTGTGTGACATGCACTGGTCTGGGAGCAGGGGAGCCTGCCCCCTCCTCCCGTGACTGCACAGTCTGGCTGTTTTGCTGTAGCAGGTAGGTGGGCTGGCTTAAGGAAAGATGTCAGCATAGTTGTGCAGATAAGGCTGGTTGCTGCCTGGTTACCAGGGCAACATCCAAGAGGGTAATAATAATTACTCTACTTAAAGCCAATGCATCTACTCATGATCATATATTCCTGCCTCAAACTCACACCTTAACAACTAAAAAATTACCTGAACAATCCACTTGACTTGAGGGAGGTCTAAGCCCCGAGCTGCAACATCCTTCAAAAGAGAAAAAAATATGACTTAGGACTGAGTTTCTGAACCTTTTTTGGGTCACAGATCTATCTGACAATCTAATGCAAACTATGAGGGCTCACCCCTACCAATGTGCACGCACGCACACACACACACACCTCTGCACACAACTTCAGGAACCCGCTGAAGTCCATCTTTGATTAAAAGTTCTGAGTTAGGGTAAGTCCTACAGAATCCACTGGTGAGGCAGTCACAACCCACTTCAACAACATGGGTTTGAATCCTGCTTCTGGAAGATTCCCCCCGACGTATTCCCTTGTGGAGGTGAGTTGCAAAGTGTTTACTGAGGACTCTGCTCATTAGCCTGAGAGCAGTGAGCATCAAGCAAGGCCCCCCCTTCAGACAGCTAAGTCAGAACCCAGGCCAAAGACCTAACCCGGCAGATGGAAACCATAAAAGCAACAGAGATATATTTTTTCTTCTCAGCCGGTCACCACCTAAACAGCAGAGACTCTCTGCTCTCTGGTTCCTGGCCATTCTGGAAGACAGACGAGAAAATGGGAATCTTCCAGTCTTTAGCAATAAATTTACACTTGGCATTTATCTTCAAGTGTAACAGTCATAACAAGAATATCCCCAGTCAACAATTACTGAGCACTTACTAAACGCCAGACACTGTGTGCAGCATTTTGCCTGCACTATCTTGACTGATCTCCAAAACAACTATTACTCCCATTTGACAGAGGAAACCAAAGTTCAGAGAGATTAAGTAACTTATCCAGGGACACACAGCTAAGAAGTAGAGGTAGCCCTCGTTTCCAGGTCTGCTCTCCTTTTCCAAGACCGTATTATATTCTACTGCTCCACCATCAAAAACGATGCCCCACAAGCTGCTACTGGGAATGCCAAATAGCACAAATTCCTATGGCAGGGAATTTGGTAAGATCCAGCAAAATTACATACACACTTGCCCTTTGACCCAGAGCAATCTCACTTCTAGAAATCCATCCCAAAGATACACTGGCAAAAGCACAAACTGATAAACATACAAGGCTATTCATTTCAGCACTGTTTGTAACTGCAGGTCTGATAAAAACCCCAAGTCTAGCAGGAGGCGGGTTGAATAAAATATGGTAATACCTACCCCACATAATAGATTATTACACAGCTACAAAAGGAAGGAAGATTCCCACGTACTGATATGGAGAATCCCTAGGATTTATTTTGAATGCGTATAGTATGCTTTTGTGTAAGAAACGAGGGGAATACAAATATATTTGCTCATGTTTCAAAAAGAAATAATGGAGGAAAAAACCCAAAAGCTTATAAAAATAGTTACCTATAGGGGAAGGAAGAGAACAGAGGGAGGGGACAAGGAGGGAAGCTAGACTTCTGTTAATTTGACTCTGAGACCATGTTTGACGTAATTAAAAAGTAAGCCAGTCAGCAGTCAAGCAATAGGAAGGACAGACCACCACCTAGGGCATGTTCTTGCCAAAACAAAACAAAACCCTAACCTGAATCTAATCAAGTGTCTAGCCCTAACTGCTGCTGTAGAGGAAACGTGGGGGGGGGGGGGGGGTCACATCTGGAACGTGGGGTATTCTAAAGGACAAACGGTCTGGTTTCATCCACTGAAACATTCAAGGATAAAAAAAGGAGGGCAACAAAAACACACAGCATTAAACTGACAGATCAAAGGACAAGTCGATCGGTAGATAAACTGAGAACCAAGACCTGGAAGGAAGCTCACCAAATCTGTCCACTGTGGTTCTCTCTCGGTGGAGGGAGTTGGGGCGACTTTGACTTCTCTCTTTGCATTTTCCTGGTCGTTGCTTTGCTTTTTATTTAACAATGGATGCATATTACTTCCCCCCAAATTTTTATTTAGAAAAATTTCATCTAGATTCAGCAATTGCTAATCTTTGGCACATCTGCTTTCTCCTTTTCTCTCTGTGCACACACGTTTTTCTGAACCATCTGAAAGTTAAGTTACAAATATTATAACATTACCCCTAAATACCCTAGCATGAATCTCCTAAGTAAATGGACATTCTTCTACATAATTACACCACCATTATCACACCTAAGAAATTTAATATTAAATAACATTATTTTCTAATAATCAGCCCATATTCAAATTTCTCCAACTGTATCTCAGATGACTTCCATAGCTGTTTTCCTTTCCCAATCCAGGACTGAATCGTAGATCACGCATTCCATGTTTATTATATCCCTCTAGACTTCCTCAATCTAGAATGGTATCCCTGCCCTTTATTGATTTATTTAGTTTTTTGATTAACTATCAATTTTGAAGTGTCCAGGTGTCTTGAGGAACACCCCAGAATCTGGATTTTTCTGTTTCCTCATGGTCAGGTTCAGGATAAGATTCAGGAGAAACATTTTGGCAGAAAGACAACATCAGGGTGGTGCGTGCTTGCGAGTGTATGACACGGGGAGACAGGCTAGGCCAGTCTGTCCTGTCCTGGTGATGCTGGCACTGGGGTAAGTGGTGTCTGCCAGCTCTCTCCATTGCATAGCTATCTTTCTCCTTTGTAATTAATAAGTAAACCGGGGAGGGAAACTTTGAGACTGTTTCTTAAAACCTTGTGCCCAAGGGTTTTAGCATCTATTGATGCTTCCTGTCTGTATCAATTGTTCCCCTGATGGCTGCAAAATGATGACTCTCTAAGCCCATCATCCCTTCCTTCCATTCGACAGCCAGCGTTCTCCCATAAGGACAGCCCTCCTCCCTCTCTTCTCACTTTTAAGCATCACTAAGGAGTTATACGTATAAAGCTTTTTTGAAAAATAACAATCTTATGCAAAGTTTCTGCAAGAAGTAAGTAAAAACAATCACTTTCTGTATCCTCCAGGGTCAGAAGCAGCACCCGAGGAAGACACGTCCTGCCATCATCTAACTCACCCAGAAGGACCACTGTGGGCGAGTCAGAATTTGTCTGCCTTCACTCTAACTACACCTGGGATCTGCTGGGTTCCTGTGAATGGTGGCTAGACTGCATCTATCAAGTGTTAAGCAGAAGTTTAATATACTAAAAGTGTGTCAAGCACCCACAAAGTGTCTTCAGACAGTTCCCACATGCCCCGAAAGCTGAAGGCTGATGTTCCAGAGCTGATGGCTCTGAAAACACAATTTAGAGCGTGCTCTATCTGAAGGGGAGCAGAAACTGCTTTCTACACTAACTACAGCTGATGTCTTTAGAAAAACTGACGGGCTCTTCAATCTGCTAAGCTCCTGTTAAGAAATGATGTATTTTCTTTAAGTGCTCTGCAGTGGGAGATGCATGTAGACAAGGGGCTGCCTGAGCTTTACAGACAAGCTTTGTAAAAAATTTAATGCTCAATGGTTTAGTAAATTCAACCAAGAAACACCAATAAAACTCTAAAGCGGCATATGATGTTCATGAAACTCACTCTGAGTACAAACACGCTGAAAGAGTGAGTTAGGAAGAACGCGGGGAGACTCTTGCTGGGACGGTTCAAGGTTCTATTTCCCACATGGGTGATGCAGTTCAGAACAACTGGCTGAGAGACGATCTTCCCGTCCCCCACAACTTCTTGTGTTAGGGTGGGGAACCTCACCGACAGCCAACCACTGCCTGGACTCAATCTGGCTCTTTCTTTAAGTACTTCTTCCTAGTCTCAGCTGAGGCTAACACAGAGAATAGGAGAAAGGAATAATCTTTCTGGTCTAGGTACAGAGGGAACTGCACTCCAAGCCATGCGATCCGGGCAAGTCAACTCAGCTCTCTGAGTTACCCACGTATAAAATCACTATAAGATCTACCCTGTTTATCTCATGAGGCTGTTGTGATTATCAAATGAGATAGTGTATGTGAAAACTGTTTTGAGAATTATAAATCGAAGTATTCCATCTCATGATGAAGTAAGACTTGGTACGGCAGCAAGTAAGCAGTGATTTAAAAGCTCCTTTACTCTCTTCCTCACACCCCACTCACTCGCTGTGGGCAGGGCACCCAGAGAAGCAGGAGTTGCTCCATCTTCCTGGAATACTGTCAACCAGCTGCACCAGATCACAGGAAACTGATCTGCCGAAGATTCAGCAAAGGCTTCGGCTCTCTGCCCACCCTTAGAACTGAGATCCAGCCCAACTGTATTCCTTTAACCTAATTAGGGCAAAAGAATTGCTAAAGTCAGTTCTGAAAGACACTCAACAGCGAGGCCTTGAAGGCCCTGGGCTTGACAATTGGCTGCCTCCGTGAGACCAAGGAGTACAGATGGAAGGCAGCTTGCTCAGGTGCCAGCCTGTCAGTTGGATTAAAATGACTCATTTATTTACCCAAGAACCTCACAAAGTGCTTTTACTAACAGGGAGAGGGGGCCTGCCGGCTCTCTGAGCAAGGGACGCAGCAAATTCGCCTCTGCAGCCTTCCTGGCCTGCCAAAAGTCATTATTGCCGTGTGTGGAAAGCCATCAGCGGGGTACAGGCCCCCGTTGTCCGGGTGACAGATTGGGCTGCGTAATCAGAGGAGGAAGGAGAGAGTGCAGAAGCTGTCAGAGGCGAGAGATCTTGGCTGGAGCCGCCAAAAAACTGGCAACATGAGTTAGCGTAACTGAGTAAACAGCCAACAATCTCCAAATGATCCTGCCATTAACACAAATGAAATAAAGGAGAAAAGATCAACTTTACCTAAAAAGCTACCCCAGAGAAAACCGAGAAAGTCTCCGTTTATTCTGGGTGGTGAAGTGACATTCTTTTGACTCTTACGGCCTCACTCCTTTGTCTCATAGCCTCCTGGCACAGTGGAAATTCCCCAGGAGGAGAGGAAATTAAGAACTGCACAGACATAACAGTGTGCTTCAAGCAAAAAAAAAGGGCGAGCGAGAAGGTGGAGGAAAGAGCAGAGGTGAATTAGGTATCTTCTGGAGAAGAAAGCATGTGCTGGACAACCACGATATATTCAACGGACAATCAGCCAGCAGACCCGAGTGGAGGTGCAAGTGCCTCTCCTGGCTGGGGACAAGGTGACTGTACTCCATTTATCCAGGGACAACCAGGGAGTGCCACGCAGACCAAGAGAAAGCATGCTGTCAGCCTTAAAACCAGAGGTAGCTTGGAAATTCCAATTTCTAGTCACTCAGTGGTATTTCTCTTTATCAACTAACAATGGTGTTAAAAGCCATACTCCCTTCCTCTGGCTTAGGGTGGGCTCTTCACCATAAACAGGAGGACCTATTTTGTAGATAATCCAATATCCTATATCTGTTTCTTTTTGATTTCTTAATTCCATTTGGGAAAGTGGGCTTTGAACTTTCAAATGACTCCTTCCTGCTTCCCTCCTTCCTACTCCCTCCTTAACTTCGCTTCTTCTTAGATCTAATTTTCTCGAGGACACAAAACTATATTTCAAATGTGTAAAGACTTCTCTTTCACAAACTGGTCTCTTCTGCCCGACTACCCTATTACCTCCACCTAGACTCCAGCTCACTGTGGTCACACATTTATTGAGAACCCACAGTACATAAGGCCACGCATCAGGTCCTGAAAGAGGTGCGTGAAATTAAAAAGGTCCTTGCTTTCAAGATATTTACAGGGGCCAGCCCAGTGGCACAGAGGTTAAGTTCACATGTTCCGCTTTGGCGGCCTGGGGTTCCTTGGTTTGGATCCCGGGTGCGGACCTACACACTGCTTGTCAAGACATGCTGTGGTAGGTGTCCCACATATAAAGTAGAGGAAGATGGGTATGGATGTTAGCTCATGGCCAGTCTTCCTCAGCAAAAAGAGGAGGATTGGCAGCAGATGTTAGCTCAGAGCTAGTCTTCCTCAAAAAAATAAATAAATAAAATTAAAATAAGCTGTTTATAATTAAGATGAAAGAAAACACACACACACATGCATGCATGCACGTGCATACCCTTAACTGTTCCTAACAACAGATGCGATAGCAGGGAGGAAAATGGGGTGGGAGGGAGTTTCCAGCAGTAAAGGAAACAGAGTAATTGTGAGCTTTTGTGTGGTTCCACCACAATTCCCAACTTTTCATACAGACATTCAGTCTTCTGGCCTCGTTAAAAGGCTCCTCGGATGATAAGTCAAAACGGCAAAAAATACGGTATGAAGGGGAAAAATCCCCACACAACAATTAACAACACGATTCCTCTTTATTGAAAGAAGCCAGTTCTTCATCTGCCCCGTCCCGATGTGGCACCGTTCCTCAGTAACACTAAGGAGGCTCCTGGAGAGCATTCAGAGAGGCTGGCAAGCAACAGGCTGCTGAAAAGGACGCAGAGGGACAGTATCTGCCCAACCCAGGCATGATCTATTACAACGTGTCTCCTGTGCCCACGGCTCTCAGATGCCAGAGTGTCAGGCTGAAGCAAACATACACGGCAGAGGCAGAAGGAACCTGGAGAGAGGGAATGAAGAACTTCTCCCCAGAGAACCTGCTCAGAACCTGGCTTAGAAAAGAGGGAAATGAGCCCAATCCAGCTCCTCTCCAGTAACCACCACTGCAGAGTAAAGATGAGATGACTGGCAGAGGATCGGTGTACTGGAAGGGACCTGGGCAAGCAAATGATGTACCAAGAGATTTTAGAGAAAGCAGATTGTGGGCAAGTGAGAGTTTGCTTTCTATGTGGCACCCAGGACTAGCAGGGGACAGAGCTTGGGGGGTACTTTTCTTTGCCAAGTCAGTGGCACTCTGTCTAGCTGACATCACTTGCCTACAGGTATCAGCCAGACAAAACAAGTCATTATATGCTTCTGACCCCACTAAGAATTACATTTCAGAAAGAATTACCTTTCCTTACATGTAGAGCTACTAAAAAACCAAAAACAAAACCAAAACAAACCAAAAAACTGAACTTCAAATACCAGAGTTGTCTTTGAGACTTAGCGCTCACCCGTGTCTGTAAAACATGGGAGCATCTGCACACTAGGAAGCTCGATTTCCCACCAGGGACAACCCTGCACCTTAAGGGTCCAAGATAAAAACATTTTGCTCAGATCTTAACCCAGACTCCGACACAACACAGTTTCCTACTGCCCTCTGTTTCAATATAGAGAATCTGTAACATTCATTCTCAAGATAACACCATATATATGAAAAAGTGAAATGTATTCCCAATGATCAAGTACACTAGTCTCAGCCTCTCCGTCTTTAGAAAAAGGAATACACTGGTGGGTTTCAATACTGAGTTTCTTGGGCCCCAACCGTCCACTTGTTCAATCCACAAACACCCAGTGCCCACTGGGCACCTGCCCTGTGCCAGGCGCTGGGATGGAACTACACATAAAACACAGCCCCTGTCTTCACGAGCTGGCGATCTGGTGGGAAGATACCGAGACCCAGGGTGATGAGTGTTAGAAAGTAATGCAGGGTGAACTGGGAATGCGTAATGGGGAAGAACTGGGGCTCCAGCGGCCTGTGTCCTGGAAAAAAAAAAAGGAACTTTAAGGTGAGACCTGAGTAGGGGTCAAAGTCAGAGTGGGGTGTCCCACGCAGAGGGAATACATGTACCAAGACCCCAAGGCCAGAAAAAGAATGACACATTCAAGGAACTGAAAGAGGGACCTGCTTGGCTGAAGAGTAGGGAGCAAGGGGGACAATGGGGACAGAGAAGACAGGAAGGGGTCAGGCTCCAGAAAGAATTATTGGACAGGATAAGGATTTTTGACAAATATCTTTATCAAGTAGATGATCTGGACTTCTCTTCACTTTAGACTTGGCATTTAAGATGGTTCTACAGCACACCCAAGCATCGGACTTGAGGGTGGGCTTCGTAAAGGGAAGGGGTGCCTGGTCAGACACAGCCCTCCTCGGGAGGCCAGCATCCCCACAGTACCGGCAGAGCCACTGTCTGCCACCCACGTGACAATCAGCACAGCAGGACACGTGGGTGACGGGCAGGCCAACTTGTGCATGACCACACACACAAGAAACAAAACTGCACTCACCCAAACGCTCTAACTTTAGAAAGAAAATTGTCTCCATTACCTTTCAAACCGAACACAGAGTAAGAGTTCCTTAAAAAGGAACTGCATTATGTGAGGCCTAGAGATGTATTCAAACAGCTAAACGTCTTTGTTTTCACCCAGCACCTGTTCACTGGATTACTCAATTTCTAGCACCATTTCATTACTGTATATACAGGGATTGCTCAAATAACCAGTTGGGGATTTGGTTACGTCATCCAAGATGGCACAAACAGGGAAGGTATTTTAATCCTGGGAGCGAGCAAAGGTGTGAGTTTCAATCTCGAACGAGCACGGAGGCGGGCATGAGAGCTGAGCTGGAGGAGGCAGCTGTCCAAGATTGCAAAGACGGAGCTGAATACAGCGGCCCCGCAAACTGCAGGGCAAACGGGAGTTTCAGACAATAGCACATAAAACCTGTCCAAGTGCATCTATTTTCCTCCGAGAAAAGTGAGCAGAGGCAAGGAGAGTGATTTGGTCGTGGAAAGACTTTCTCAGCTCTAATTACTCCCGATAGCCGTAATTTACAAGTTTTGGGGGGATAGAAATCGCCAAGATTCACACGTTTTCAGGCCAACAGCTGTCACTATTAGTGAGCAAATCGCCAAGTCTTCTGCACAGTGGCGGCCGGCTGTCCGTGGCACAGTCAGGTGACAACCCAGAAGTGCGAAGGGACCAGACACACCAAGAGGCCCCTGTAGTCCCCCTCTCTGTAGGGCTGACCGTGAAGCAAACTGTCGAGAGATGAAAAATCACAAGCATTGCAGAAAGTTTCAACCTTCACAGAGTATAGAGTAATACCTACCGTGCAAAGGAGGACGCCTGTTTTGGAGTGTGAGAATTCCTGAAACACTGCTGTTCTTTCCTACAAAAACAAGGAAAATGGGGCCTTACCACTCTGAGATCAATTCCAGCAAGGAGGGCTTAGATTCCCAAACTTTCCCAATTGTAACTGTAGAAAATTACCTTTAAGTAAAGGAAGACAATGAAATCAACCCTCCACTCAGAGCAAACCACCACTGTAACACTTTGAAGTTTCCTGAGCCCCCTCCTATGCAAAACAACCAAACACATGGCTTTGTTTAAATGCCACCATACTACTCACACCAACAACGTGCTCTTATGATATGGCAATAGAATGTGAACATCTTTCCATGCTAATAAATCTCCAAAAACCACATGGTCTCTCCTGACTGTACAGTATTCAGCCGAATGGGTGCACATCATTTACATGACCAATGGCCCGTTAGTGTCCACTGAGGTTGTCTCCAATAGGTGACTATCACAAACAGGGAGGTGATAAACATCTCTGTAGATGAGTCCTTGTGTACATGCTTACTATTCCCTTGGAGTAAATTCCTAAAGGCAGACTTGCTGGACCAAAAAGTATGTACACTTAAAAGGCTTTCAGCGTGAACCTGGGACGGGCACACTCAGAGTGTGTTTAAGTCAGTGTTGCTAGCAGTTAAGACTTGACCATGTCCACCTGTCAGCAACAACAAAAGAGGGAATATACCTGAATTACAAAAAATTTGGAAAAGAGAAAAAAATGAAGTCTCTCCTTCCGCTCTGGCACAGCCACTATGCCACTGGGGTAAAGTTCACTCTGGTTCCACGTGCATGTATCTGTCACATAACTGGAACCCGAGGGTACGCCTCACCAAGTACAGTGGATGATGGCAGCCAACACCCACTGAGTGCTTTCAGGGACCAGACCCTGGCCTATGCCTTACACGTCTGAACTTACCGAATCTGAACCACCCTACGAGAAGGTTCCATCACCATCCCCATTTCCAGAAGAAGAAACTGAGCACAGAGAGGTTAAGGAACTTGCCCAAGGGACACGCACACAGTTAGTAAAGGGCTAGACTGACATCTGAGCCCAGAGTTGGTGCTCAGACCCTCAAAGGGACAGCTGCGGTCCCCAGTTTGCTGCACAGTCCTTATGAGGGTCTTTTTAACAGTGGCATTGTAGAGTCAAAACCAGAAAAAAATCAGGAAAGTCCAGAAAAGCCCGTGAAACCTCTTAAAGACTGGACATAATGTGGTCAGGTTTGGGGCAAAGACAAAAACCACCAAACTCTTGAGCTTCCATCACAATTATCACACAGCAACTTCTTCGAACAGCATCCTCTCTCCAAGGCTCGTAAACTTCGTTAGGGTCATGTCAATCATCTAGGGAGACCACACTGAGGTCATGTGGAGCAGTGGTCAGGGTACCGGGCCAGGATATGTGGCTGGGACTATTTCAGCTTAGTCTGGGAGAAGACACTGAACCTCAGTACCTATAAAATGAAATACAGAGACACTCCCTCCCATCTTGGACCCATCCCATGGGGAGGCTGTGAAGGCTACTTAATAGACAAAACAACAGAAGTAAGACACTGACAACTATTAAACTGTTCCTGGGAGAGAAACAATAGTGACGGCTCCTGACACTTACGCAGTACTGACGCTGCGCAGGCCCTGTTCTCAGCACTTCATCTGCATTAACTCAACGATCTGTCACAACCACCCTGGGAAGGAAGTCGTCTTATCAGCTCCATTTCAGAGACACGGAAACTGAGGCACAGAGAGGTTTAATGCTTTCCTAAGGTCACACAGTCAGTAAAGGGCAGAGCCAGGACTAGAACACAAGCAGTCTGCTCCCGGGGCACACAGCTGACAACACCCTGCTGGACTACCATCTTGTGACAATGTGAGAGAAAGGGTTGGAAATAATGGAACTACAGCATCTTTTGTAGGATCTATTCAGATTCCAGATCCTTCTGAGTCCACAGCCAGCTCCCTGATCATCCTCGGACCTAGCCTGCAGAATGCCTCTGGGGAGAACAGACCCAGGGGATCAGTACATTAAGTTTAAAAAAACACGCAAACATCCCAAATGGGATTACATTACGAAATGAATAAACTCAACTGAATCAGGAATCCTGAAGGTAAAAACCAAGAGTTTATAAAATTCACAAAGGCTGGAATATTCGGGAAATTCTATATAATCTCACGGTAAATAAGCAGCTGTGTTCCTGAGTGACCTTGAGCGAGTTCACTTTTGTGAGCCTCCATTTCCTTAATTATTAAAACAAAAAAAACAAAAACAAAAAGGACTGGATTTGATGACCATACCGTTTCTTTAAGCTCTAAAAGTCTTACAATTTTTAAGCTGGTTCTGGTCAAATCTTACTCCGATGTGTGGCTTTCTCTCACTCTGCCTCATTTTCTCAGCTGCCTGGTGGCCGCTCCTTGAGGACAAGATGGCTCCTATTTCCAAGCCATGTGTCCTTTCTTTCAAATTCCAGCGAGTTCCTCTTGTTCTACGCTCCGCCCCGCCTCCCTAAATGGACAGCCTACTTACCAGCAGTGGAATGAGGCTTATGCAGCTAAGAGCCTAAAACAAGGAAAATGCTATACTCTTCTCCCTGAATAAAAATATTACTCAGAGCTGAGACAGAACTGAGACCCGAAGCCCCTTTAACACACAGTCCCCTCTCCCAACCAAAAGTGCTCAGAGAGAAAGCGCTGCATCTTGTTGACAATGACAGCAGTCATGCTCAGCAGTACCATATGGGATCCACAATTTAGCTCCATTAATGCTCTTAATTTGAAGACATCAAGCCCTAATTACACACTGGGTACTAAAAAGGCAAAACCCTTCCCTGGTGCCAGCTACTTAGTGGTACTCTGTTGCCTTAACAGCTGGTTGAGGTAGATTCAGGCCAAGCCAGGCCTGTGAGCTCTCTCAGGTGGAAGAGACCGGCCTGCGGAGCAAGAGCAATCGGCAACAATAGACGCCCCTTGCCCACATGGACACAGCGGCGCAATCCGCCCTAGTTCCAGCGGTCGCCCACTTGAGGCTCACTTTTCCCCAGCCCGGTGGAGCCTGCGAGGGAAGCGAGTGCTGACCCTGGAGGATGAGTTCAAGTTGACGGGACTCGGGTGTGCTCCCGTTTCCACTCCTGGGGGAGGCTAGTGCTCACCTCCTGCTCCATGTTGCCATGCAGCCGCAGGAATTTTAATCGCGTGGAGGCAGATGGTAGCTGCCCTGGTGCCGGGGCCCCTGAGCTGCTCAGCAGGGTCTGGAGGAAGAGGTTGTAGTGGAACTCCACTAGCTCGCAACTCGAGAAAAAGACAATCATCTTCTGGTCTTTTTCAAACTACAGTGATACAAAGAGGAAAAAACAAGCACATGTCTTTAAGTGACAGTGAAATGAATATTTCTCTAAAATACAATCATGCTGGCCCCGATTTGGAAACACAGGTGACAGACGGCTTTGAATTATTTTTACAAAATAACACTGATACTCCAAGCTACAAAGAATGTAGGAAAGGAAAATGACATAGCTATAACCTCAAACGGGTTTTCTGTATCTGAGAAAAACAAATATACTTTAGAGTGAAGCTGTACGTTAGCTCTGTTCCTTTCATTCATTCAGGGCTCACACACACAATACTACCCAGCTGAGACCCTGCATATGCAGTAAATCTGGAAGCTTCATTCTCAAGCCCTTCTACCTACTATTTTCCCATATACCAGAGAAAGTTATCACATGAATCTAGTAAATAAATACACAAGTACCATGATTCTTTAAAAACACAAGCACAGGCCCCTCTATCTGCCTCACCTTCAGCAAGTTTCACCACCTGGGACGTTCCCAGTATCATCCCAGGAAAGATCTTTAAGGCAGATTTCAAGCCAAACATAATGGCTCTCAACGACCTCTGATTCTTTTTTTTTTTTTAAAGACGGGCACCTGAGCTAACATCTGTTGCCAATCTTTTCTTCTTTGTTCTTTCTTCTTCTCCCCAAAGCCCCCACTACACAGTTGTATATTCTAGCTGTAGGTCCTTCTAGTTGTGCTGTATGGGACGCCGCCTCAGCACGACTGGGTGAGCGGTGCTGGTTCCGCACCCAGGATCTGAACCCGTGAAACCCTGGCCGCTGAAGCGGAGCGCATGAACTTAACCACTTGACACGGGGCCGGCCCCTGACCTCTGATTCTTTACCACAACCCTAGAACCACGAACTGAAAAGATGTCTATTAAGGTCCACATTTACAAGTAGTTAAGTTGGAAAACGGGTGTGTGTGTCTCAATTCATTGCTACTCATGCCTGACACAAACAGGTCATCCTTCCCTGCACCAAGCCAAGCCTAGCGCCCAGTCCTACCTTGCATTTCTGCAGGATGAAGGCCGCAAGGGAGACAAGCCTCAGTTTGCTGGGCACCAACGTCACGTGCTGATCGAGACTCTCCGGGATTGCAAAGCTGTCCAGCTCGTCGCTAGTTCGTGGAGGGGAGACTTCAAGAACTGCTTTGCCCTTCGGGTTAGACTGATCGTGGCTTTCATCCAGGACAGAAATACTGACTGGGTTGTGTAAACTGATACCAGCTAGCCGTGTAACGCCTTGGATACCAAGTGAAAAAGGCAAAAGAGATGACAAGCACACTGTGGAACTGGTCACATACGCACACCCCTACACCACACACACCCAGGCTAAGAAACTCTCTAGGAGCAATACCAATGCCAGCACTGATCTGCCCTACTGTCCACCTGGTGGGGCAGACCCACCGACTTCTTCCCATGCCTAACAGCCCATCCACACCAGCGTTTCTCAACTCTGACCTGTGGAAGACCATTCAAAGGGACATTAACAGACGTCTGCCCATCACCCCCCAGAAAGAGTTCTATGGGCAAGTTATGAAAACCCTGATAAAAACATTTCATGGGTTTCTTTCACAGGGTTTTATGGGTTTACAGTCCTTCTCAGGACCTTTATTGTGCTAATGTGCATCACAAATCTCCAAAAGCAGGAGGTAATGTGTGGCATTTCCCAAATTTTTTGGGCACAGAATCCCTTTTTCACTTAAAATTAATGTTGTTTAGAATGTACTCTGAGAACTGTTGACGGGTCACATAAATGGCATCTGGTGTGTGCATACTACAATGCAGCTGGTTAACAAATACAGCCGACAGAGAACATGAAAGCTGGACTGTTGTTCAAACAGTGACTCATCGTGTGGGGTGCTTCTGGTGGAGAGTGATGCAACTTCTCTGAGCTCTGGTATTCCCATCTATAAAAGAGAGCTAAGAATTTTCATCTCACAAGGATGGCGAGACAGAAATGAGCTTACAGAATTTTTTGATTAGGGTTCAGAAGCTCTAAGAAGAAATGCAGTGTGATTACACTAGAGAAGGCACCTGGATAGAGGTCGCCCTCTCCAGGACAAAGACGCTGCTCTCAGTGGGTGGCAATCGCAACAAAAATCTCAGGAAAGCATTGGTGGAGGGCGGGCAGCCTTTTCTCTTCCTCTACACCAACATGAGCACCGCAGCGCTCTCCCTCCTGAGAGGATTCTGGATCTCTCTCCCTTTCCCCACGGCCTAGGGCACACGGTGGAGCCCTGGACGGCTGGGAGTGCAGGACGCAGTGTGAAACGTAGCCCTCTCGGGATCCTTTCCTCCTCCCCGCTCTCCCCAAGGCCAAGGATCTGCTGGCAAACAACGCAGACCGCATCCAGGCCTTCCTCTCCATTAAGAACAAAGAGCATTTCTCTTCAACTCACCTTCCGTGAGCGTTGCCGACAGCAAGACGGTCTGTCGGCTCTGGCACTCCGCGTTTACAGCATTGAGTATCACTGTGATATCCTTTTCAAAACCCAAATCCAAGATTCTGTGGGTTCAAGAGAAGGAATTTCAATCTACGTGAAGAGTAAACATCGCAATGAGGACAGCAGAAACAGCTCTTTTCTTCTACTTTTCACGCTTCCTGCGCGAGGCTCACCTGTCCGCTTCATCCAAAATCAGCCAGCGTACCCGACTGAAGTGAAGGTTCCCTGTGGATTTTATATGATCCACCAGACGTCCGGGAGTTGAGATGAGGATGTTTATTCCTTTCCGCAGTCTGTTTAAAATTATGTATCATGAAAGAGAGTAAATAAAATGGGGCCGTATCAGTGGAAAACACAGGAAAGAGGCAAAGGAGATAGGCACGTCTAGCAGAAATGTGCCACAGCTTGAAATCATGACAAACATGATGACAAATGGACACATTGAGACATCTGAGTTTTAATTTTCCTCTGAAGTTTCTCTCGCCTACAAAATCTAACTGTTAAGATCTCAAATTATAGTAAAATCATAAAACCTTAACTTTGGATGGAATCTTAACTATACAATCCAATGCCCTTTATCTGATCCATAGATTATTTCTAGAACATTCCAGATAGAAGGTCATCTAGCCTGTGCCTGAAGGCTTCTGTGCCAGGGAACCTCTTACCCGAATGACTTCTCCCATGCCAATGCGCTCTAATGACTAGAACCAATTCTCTTATATTGAATCCTTTTTGTAACTTCCATACAATGGGCCCAACTTTGCCCCCTAGACTAGGTAGAATAAATCTAATTTCTTACTCCCAAAAATCTTTCATCTCATTTTCCACAGTAATAAAAGCCTCCAATTTTTATCTGAGTGTATTTTCCAGCTTCCCTTGCAGTTAAGTATAGTCACATGCCTATGTTCAAGCAATAGGATAAAAAGAAAGGGAATATGAAAGTCCTACAAGTACCTTTAGAGGGAGGAGGTACAATTATCTTTGTTCTTGCTGGCAGGAAACTAGATGTAATGGCTGGACCTCCAGCAACTACCTAAGACTATGAAGTAACCGTGAAAATGGAAGCCTCACTTAGCAGTGCAGAGAGAGAGAAAGAGCCTGGGTCCTGGTAGCCAGGCAGGATGCCAACCCTGAGCTGGCTGCCGTAAGGCTACTTAAACGGAAAAGAAGAATAAAAGCTCACATTGTTCGTGCCACTGCCTTATGTTTGTTGTTGTTATTTACAGCTCAATCTAATCCCAACCAATGCTTTTAGGTTTCAAGTTTAATATTTACTCATCAGTTACAGACTACACATGTAGTTGGGTATTACTTCTAAGCATTAAGCTATAATACAATAAGAAGAAAGACAATTTGGGATTTACTTGTTGCAACAATTTTCTCCCGACACCTATTACTGGTTTAATACACAATTAGGAATCAATGTATTTGGGTGTGAAAAGCAAAGTGCAAAGCATTACATAAGGTTGGGGTCTTGTTTCTGTACAATGAAACAACAAAACTGCAAACTCCCAATGGACACAAAAGGGAGTCACCAGGGCAGATGTAGACGAGGCAAGGGGGTCACGGGCACGGAGGGTGGGAGTTAGAGGGCAGGGAGCACGGTTACTGACCACATCAGAAGGGAAGCTCTTCGTAGGTTCATCAATATTTTAAAAGATAAAGACAGCACCGTCTGGAGGTGACCACTCCCTGCTGACTCGATCTGTCCCTTTGCACTGGGCCCAGGAGCACCGTCTGAGACAAGCCTCTCTCCAAGTTTTACTGAACAGGAAGGCACGACAGACAGAATCAAAAAGGAATTCACAACAAGCCGACCCCCACCTACCTGGCTTTTTCTGATTTTCTCTTCTCTCCTCCCATTAACACTCCAGGCACAATCCAGGTAAATGGCTACAGAAAGACATCAGATCAAAATCAATTCAAAGCTCCCGTTACTGAAAACACAGAGAATGATTCTAAATTCCTTCTCCTTAAAGCAGTTGGGAGGGAAGACTCAGGCTTCTCACTGCATGGGGTGTTACTGTGCAGACAGAGTTCCCAGGCATTGCTACAGCCATGGTTACCATCAGAAGTAACTCAAACTATAGCTATACAACTAGCTTCCAACACCGTAAGAGAGAAATGTGAGCTTTTTAAATGGTTGAAGTAGCTTCTCTGCCTTTCCCCTGGGAGGCTGAATTGAAAACACATTTCAGTAAGTCTACTGCCTTTTTTTTGGTTAAGATAAAACCCAAGCACAACCCTTCCCAACTCCCCAGCCTGGGAAGAGAAAAAACAGATCAGTCCTCAATCTAGTTTGGTGAGCTGGCAGGCTCTGGCCCTGAAACCTCCTCTCTTCTTTCTTAAACAAACCCTACCTCCACTTTTGTGAGCTGCTTTCCAGTGGATCACCTTGAGGGTGCACCTGCAAATCTCTGAATCTGGCTGGCTAGTGACTATGAGGAAAAGATTATAGGACTTTAAGCACCAGGAAACACTGGGCAGCTAGCCACGCTGGAAATCAGGAGTTACTAAGGTTTAGATGAGTAAAAACCTACAAACTGTACCTGAGGAGAGCAGAGACATCCAGAGAATAGAAGGAAATTAGAGTAATTCCCAGCTCTTTGAAAATAAAGAAAAGACTGTGCTATATTTCTCTTTCCTCAAAAAGTCAGGGAAAAAAGGATAAAACTGAACTCATGGCTTGCCTTACCTTGAGCAGTTTCTGGACAGTGTCAAAGCTTTGTAGAGCCAGCTGTAAATATTAAAAAGTTACAGATAATGAGCAAGGTCCTTTCTCCCCCAACCCCTTTTTTCAAATTTACACAACATAAAGTGATTAGGATCCAAACTTGGACCTCAACTTAAGATTTAAGAAACAAAAATCTCATACACAGAAGCTATTCAGAAAATATACCTTATTCTTACACTGATTCTGAAACCTGTCAGTTTGGAGCATGTGGGCACAGACATCACATCTATTTCTTGGATGTATACAAAAATAGTGTTTTGTGCTCCCTCTGCTGGCTCAAATTCCCAGAGTGCCACACAGAGAAGTACAAGTCTATGGTGCACAAAGATGGAAGAAAATGAAAGAGAGTCGATCCAAATTTGGCTCTCCTTAGAAAGAGAAAATATAATATGCATGGAGGGGTAAACTAGAACAGTGATGCAACAGGCTAGCCTTCAGGCACTCTGCTTTAAAGGTGACATGACATACCCTAAAAGTACGCCAGGGAAGAGCAGTACCTAAAGACTAAGATGATGGTCATTCCCCAAATTTATCATAGAAAAAAATGAACCAAGAAGCCCAGTGGAAACTAGAGAAAGTGAAAGTTAACGTAGGTTATAACCGTTAACAACCATCAAAAAAGCCTCTACCCAACCCCTTTATCCAAGGATATCTATACAGTTTCCACTTGTTTAGTATTCATGAAGCGTCCTAGGGAAGTAGCAAGTTTGCTGCTGTAAAAATTTAAATAGCTTCGTGCCTTCTCCTTCACTGGATGGCGCTGAGACAGGGCCCTGCAGGCTGTACAAGGGCTGAGCGGAGCCCTCCCTCTCCAGGACGAATCCTCTGCGAGGAGGAAACAGCACCCAATAGAGAAAACAGTTACCCTAATCTGAAATTGCCTCTGTAGGCAAATAAAACAGATCAGATGGAAGAGATTTCCACCAAGAAGGAAGAAAAACATCAAGAAGCTTAATTTTCAGGAACAAGTAAAATTTTTGGTACAGTAGCTTCTTAAAAAAAAATAAAAGCTCGTTTTTAGGGCTAACTGCTCTTATTTTTGAACTGAGTTGTAAAAACAATGTGATTATTGTAATTCCTCTTAAAAGGACAAATTTATAGTGTCATTAGTCTTTAGATAACAGGGAAATGCTTTCCTATACTTCAGATTTTCAAAGAGCAGTTCAATTTTTCTTCTACAATGTAAGGGTGCAGTGGTTTGTGCAGTAGGGAGAAAAATGGTAAAATCACTTTTAAATTCAACAGAATATCACTGAAAACAGTTGCTCAAGACTCATCCCCAAAGTTAGATGCTTACCTCTCTCGTTGGCACTAGTACCAGAGCATAGGGGCCGTCACTGCGCTGTTGACACGGAAGGAAGGAAATGCCATGAGTCGAATAAACACAGGTCACAGGAGTCCAAATGGACAGAACACTTAAGGGTGGCCCCTTGTGAATCATCAGAAGCAGTCACTGAAGACAGAGAAAGACTGTCCACTACCCCGTTATTAAGGAAAACTGTTCTAGAGGTTCTGACCCATGCAATCAGACAAGAAATATGCATAAATCTGGAAAATAGGAGGTAAAACTGTCCGCATTAGCAGATGATATTTTATCCTAAAAATAGTCTTAAGAAAATCACTTGAAAATCTATTACAAAGAAGACAATTCAGTCAAATAGCTGAACGCAAAATTAACATATAAAAATCAATAGCCTTCTAATATAGAAGGTTAAAAAACACAACGAAGGGAGGAAAAATCACACTTAGAATAGCAACCAAAAAGATAAAAAGAATAAGCTTAACAAAAAACGTACAGAATCTATATAATGAAAATTTAAAAATATTTCTGAGGGACATAAAATAAAATTTGAATAAATGGAAAGGTGTACCCTGTTCTTGGATAAGAGGACTTGATATTACACAAGTTAATTCTCCCTAAATCAATCCACAAATGTAATGCAATTCTAAAAAAAATGCCATGAATATGCCTATAGAAAATAATATATATAATCAGACAAACTAAATTTCAAAGTTCATATGGAAAAATAAACGTGCAAGAAAAACCAAGACATTTCTGAACGACATCAGATGTTAAAACAATTTAAATCTACAGTAGTTTTGAAAAATGGATACTGGCACATACATAGAGATTATAATAGCAAACAGAGTCTGGAATAGAATCAAATACATACAGAAATTTAGGAAAAAAGGGACATTTTTCATCAGTAACCACAAGATGAATTATTCAGAAGTCCTAGGAAAAAATTAAGTTAGAAAAATAAGATTGGAATTAAGTTGGCCTTTTTACAGATGACATAAAACTCAAACTATGAAACACTGATAAATTTTATTACATAAAAATTTAAAATTTCAGAATGGAAAAACAACCTAAACAAAATCAAGAGTTAAATGACAATGTGGGGAAAAAAATATGCCACACATAAAAGAAGGCCAATTTCCTTAGCTTATAAAGAAGGCCCACAATTCAATTAAAAATAAAAATAAAAAAGATCAAAAACTCAAATAGAAAAATGGAGAAGGAGCTGAGGTAAACAGTTAATTTATGGAAATAACTCAAAATATGGCTTTTACACATATGAAAAGATGCTCAACTTTACCCTTAACAGAAATTCAAATTGAAACTGTATTACAGTATTTTTCCCCTGTCAAATGAGCAAAAATAAAACAGCTGACAGTGTTGGTAAGGGCACGAGCACACAGAGACTCTTGCACACTGCTGGTGGGAGCATGAACTGTTGTAATTTCTTTAAAGGTCATTTTTATTTGGTATCATCTACCAAATAAAAATGTAAATTCCACTTTCAGGAATTTCCACTTTTAGGAATGTCTCTAAAAGATACACTCATACATGTGCATAAAGAAGTCGGAAAATATTTTACAGAATGTAGGATATTTATAACAGCCTTGTTTGCAGCAAAATATTGAACATACCGTAAATTCCACCAAAGAGGGAACGATTCAATAATTTACGGTACATACATACAGTGGAATACTAGGCAGCCAGTAAAGAAACAAGGCAGAACAACAGGGTCCTGGTAAGAAACCATCCTCAAAACAGAATAAGTGAACGAGAGTGAGGCAGAGAACATCACGCATGACAAGCAACTATCCGGGTGTCCAGCACAACAAACAGAACCTCCAATCAAAGGGGGAAGGGGAACTAAACACACTCATACCCGCTTTATGTGCGAAGACTATCCCCGTGGGGCACACAAGGGACCAGGGTCAGGACCACTGCATCCTGAGAGGAGAGCTGGGCCCCCCAGTGGAAGGGGGAGTAGAACGACTTACTTTTCACTATACATTTTGGGTACTCTTTGAATTTTTGAAATTTGCATGTTATATCTAAAAATAACAGTAATAATAATAATAGAAGAAAACAAGTAATCTAGTAAAAGGCCCCCAAGTCAAAGGTGCCTGGCACGTCGAAAGTGCTCACAGACATTTAGTGAGTGACTCAAAGCAACGTCAGTGCGGAAGCTAAGCGCAGATTTAGCAGCAAATTCAATTACAAGCGTGGTTTTCATGTTTTGCATAGGAAACATTTACCCACAAGGAGAAAAGGATTTGGAATTCAAACTAGAGCTGTCTGTACTCAACATCAACTTGGCAAGACTGCACTGCGGCCCAGGCGAGGAACGGTAAACACGTTAGTACAACAGGATCAACGTGCCGCAGCGTGACGGTAGGAGATTCTGACATTTCAAAAGGTGTTACTACACAGAGAAGAAGAAAGAGAAATCAATTCCTCACAGGGCAGAAGTGAGAGAAGAAGGATGGATGTGATGTTAAAACAAATCAGAGCCAAAATAACGGAAAGAGTGAAAACACAGAAAAGCAATCCACGCTCATTCCATCACCAGAGTAATTTAAGACTCTGCTGGGTGCCTTGAATCTGCTGCTCCCTCCAGATATGTTTTTTACAGGTCAAATCATTTTACAATGAACTCCAAGGGTCTATACTGAAGACTACTTGAAATAAGTGAATTAAATCTGGGCTTGGAAAACTCTTTCTACAGAATATTTCAGTCTCTAATAGAATGAGCTGTTATTGATATTAAAAAAATTTGAACAAATAAAAACAACCACATGGCTTGCTAATGGTTCTGAATATACGCACATCAACTCAGTGCCCTTCAAATTCGCCACAGGACCAATGATGACGGCTAACACTTACTGAGCAGGTGCTATTACTAGACACCAGTTCTCAACCCTCCATGGGCACTAAGTCACTTAATCCTCAGCGTAACTCTGGGAGCTAGGCACTGCTTTATCCCCACGCCACAGACGAAGGCACAGAGGGATGAAATGATTTGCCTAGGTCACTCTCACACCCAGGATTTAAGCGGAGCCGCCCACCACATGGTCTACCTTAGTTATGTAACCTAATCTCTCTCTTGTCCTTGGTTCATGGACCTACGAAATGAGACAGCTGGGCTAGAACCGTAGAACCCATTCCAGCTCAGATATTCCCAAACTTTCCAACTTTGTATGAAGAAAAAACTCTCTACTAGCAAGAAGTTCTCCTGGAGCTTATCAATGGACGAGACTTTACTACATTATTGTGATAATTTACATCTATTCTTCTCTATGTACCAGGTGCAATGCAAAGCCCTTTACATAAATTATCTCACTGTAAACTGCCTAATGGGAAGAAAAAAATCAGTCACCTTTAGGAAATAAAATCCTCTTTCTACCTCAGAGAAAACCAGGGCTAACAGTTTAAGTATCGTCGTCTTTTTATGCATACACATATATGTAATTTTTTTCAACTTTTTTTTTTTTTTTTGCTGAGGAAGATTCACCCTGAGCTAACACCTGTGCAAATCTTCCTCTATTTTGTACGTGCATCACTGCCACAGCATGGCTGACAATAAGTGGTGTAGGTCCTAAGCCTGGGAACTGATTCTGGGCCACCAAAGTGGGGTGCACCAAACTTAACCACTAGGGCATGGGGCCAGTCCCATATGTAGATTATTAATATTTATGAAATCGGAGTCATACTATATATATTGTTTTGTAACCTGCTTTTTTTCAACTAACATGAACTTGTTAAGTTCACAAATAGTAATTGAAAACGGTATCACTTTTAATGGCTATATAGGGTTCCATCATTTGGATGACAGTGCAGGGTTTCTTTTTTAATGATTTAAAAATTTTTGTAACCTTTTCATTTTGAAATAATTTTAGATTTACAAAAAAACTGCACAAATAGTACAAGGAACTCCCTTACACTCTTCTCCCAGCTTCCCTACATGTTATCAATTTTCAAAATCACAGTACAAAGATCAACACTAGGAAACAAACATGGATGCACTATGCCCTGCTATTCCCCTGCAGCTCTTGCTCAGGATTCACTGACTGAGCGAGCAACGTCCTTCTTCCAGACAAGGAGCCGACTCAGGACCGCAGACTGCATTCAGCTGTCACGTCTCCTTTGTCTCTTCTAATCTGGGGCAGATCTTTAGTATTTCTTTGTCTTTTAGGACCCTAATACTTTGAAGAGTACTGGCCAGCTGCTTTATAGAACGTCCCTCAATTTGGGTTTGTCTGATGTTTGCTTATGATTAAATTCGGGTTATGCATTTTGGGCAAAACCACAGCAGTGACACTGCATCCTGTGTGCACCTGGCAGAAGGCACAGGCGGCCAACACCTCAGTGCTGGTGACACCAACTCTGATCACCTGATTAAGGTGGGCACAGCTACGCTTTCCCAATGGCAAGTTAATGCTTTTCCCCTTTGTGATTAAGAAGTATCTGTGGGGAGATCCTTTGAGACTATGTAAAGGTCCCATTTTTTATCACACTTTCATCCACTCACTGTTTTTTTTTTGAGGAAGATTAGCCTCAAGCTAACATCTGCCGCCAATCCTCTTTTTGCTGAGGAAGACTGGCCCTGAGCTGCACTCATCTTCCTCCACTTTATATGTGGGACACCTGCCACAGAGTGGCTTGATAAGCAGTGTGTAGGTCCACACCTGGGATCCGAACCAGCGAACCCCTGACTGCCAAAGCAGAGTGCGTGAACTTAACTGCTATGCCACTGGGCCAGCCTCCACCATTTTAACATCTATGACGCTTCTTGCCTGAAACAATATTGTTGTGGCGTCGGCCAAATGGTGGCGTTCTATCTCCATCACTTCTCCTACATTGACTCATTGGAACCTACTCTAAGGAAGGGCTTTCCTTATCCCCATTTCTTTATTAAGTAATTTATTAATATCAGTTTGGATTCATGGATATTTTAGTCTATGGACTAAATATCCAAGACTATCATTACTTATTTTGTCACTGAAATATCAGGTAGGCTTGATACAGGTCTAATTCTGTATGTCCAAACCGAGGAAAAAAAGTAACCAATTAGCTTCTCATCTGTTTGTGAACCCGCCTCACTCCCCAGTTTTCCTCTCACCACGCCGTCTCAACTGAGACTAACCAGGGCTGTATTTGTCGGATTCTGGGCTGGGTTTTGAGATGACGTCTATGCTGACATATCATGGCAGTTAACTGGCCTCCTAGGGGACCCAAGGAAACCAATTTTGGCCCCTTTGGTCCAGGCACTAACTAAATGGGTTTCACATCTAAAGATAAGTTCTAGACAATGCTAAATACGAGGCAGCCCAATTCTCAAACTCACTAATTGAGTGCTTATTTTCACATCTACTATTCATGATAAACCCCTGTTTTGAATATGACGTTCAGCCTTTGCTGTCAGAAAAGCTTGGTCTCTGGAGCCGAGCAGAACTGAGGTGGGAATCCAGTTCCACCATCACTCATCGTGTGACGAGGAAATTATCCAGCGAGTTCTTTAACTCCCCCAAGCCTCCGCTTCTTTTTGCAACATTGGGGTAACAGTAATACCCAGAACTCCATAGGGCAGGGGGCGGTTAAAGATTCGAAGATCACACAGCAAAGCATTCGGCACGATGTCTGACACAGGGGAGCATTTTACAAACGTTCCTTATCAGACCCCCTGTGACGACCGTGAAATACATTTATTCTATTCTCCTCCAGGCACAGTCTTTAGATGCAACATGTTTATGTAAAACACGAATTAAAAAGAGGGAAGAAAACAATGCTAAGTGAAAACAGATTCTTCGGTGCCGACATGACTGCTTTGGTTCAGTTTGACGGTTTCTGACGCACAGCGAACAGTCACAGAAAAGACAGTTTACACTCACCTGTATTTTTGCTTTCACTGCTTGAAGGGACTGGACCACAGGGATACAATAGGCAAGAGTTTTACCTTTTAAGAAAGTCGAAAAGAAGTTACAATCACAGACCCCACAGATGTAAGAAAAGCCAAGACAGTGAAAGAAACAGGCTCTGCTCTCCTCGGTGGAACTAAATTCACGGGAAAGAAAAGGGCATGTCACACATCCAAGAGAGGTGAAAACTGAATTCACCTGTCTGCCACAGCACCTAACTCTGCTTCGTAAATTCAGGACCTCTAAAAACCCCGCAGCTTCAGCTTCTTTAGCCATTAGTAACAAAGGAGACAACAACGCATTTCCCAAGTTACACAAAAGCTCAACCTGATGATTGTTCCTCAAAGCTAGAAAACGCCTCCTTTGCAGCAGTCCTTAACCCCTCAAACGAGCATCAGTGGTCAGGTAAATGTCCTCTGCGGTGCTGATGTGATTAGGAGCCAGTCTGAACCTCAAAGCTAGCCTCTAAACACCAAGAGGAAACCAAGGGATGGCAAAAGCTTTGGGTTCCCGCCCACCTGCATGGTGGCTGGGCTGGGGGGAGCCAATAGCTGATCTGTCATCAAGGGCACAAGAGAGCCAGAAGAACAAGTCTAGACAGGTCTGGAACACGCAAAAACTGTGTTCCACTGGGGACCGGCCTGGCGGCGTAGTGGTGAAGTTCATGCACTCCAATTCAGCAGCCCAGGGCTCATGGGTTCTGATCCAGGCATGGACTTACACACCATTCATCAAGCCATGTTGTGGCGGCAACCCACATACAATACAAAATAGAGGAAGACTGGCAACAGATGTCAGCTCCGGGCCAATCTTCCTCACCAAAATCAAAAAACAAAAAAACTGTGTTCCACATTCAAGCAAAACGAGTGGTATCTGATCAATGTGTACTCATGTCAGAAGTGTGTTTTAATACCAGAAGAACACAGGCACCCCTCCTGGAGCGAGGATGGGCAGCTCCGGCCACAGATGGTGGGACCCGACAGAACCCTAAGATAGGCTCAGAGGAATGACAGCAGAACTTGACTCCTTCCTGATCATTCCTGATCACGGTTCCATCAAACTTCCCCTTCCTTTCACTCTGTGAACAAATTCCGGGCTCTAATCAAATCGCAGCATGGCCTCCCCTCCCCCAAACAAAGCAAAGCAGCCACCACCACAGATATCTCACTACATAACCTACTATGTGACCACGGCCTGGGTACCATGTGGAGAAGGGCAGACATTAAATGACGACTGACCTGAGCCCGTCTGGGATCTCACAAGGGCGTCTCTGCCTTCCAGCAACACAGGAATGCTTTGCTTCTGAATGCTGGGGTCACCCAAAAGAAAGAAGACATGCTTCTATGTAACATACTACCCACTCACGTTTACAGGCAGAGACACAGAATACACAAAATGCAACTGCCCCATGCTTTGTCTATCAAGTGCCACCTTAGAAGTTACCTAAACATTCAAGCGAAGGTGCTGAGAAACTTTTGATGATCAGAAAAATAAAAACCTCAGTTAAATTTCTGGAACTTAGCTGAAAATGTTGAGGCAAGCCACAGATCTGGCCATTCTATTAGACTAATTAAAAAGCAAAATGGGACAGCATGTTGACCACCTGGAGCTACCATGAAAGCGTATCGCACATTCTTGCCTTCTGTAACAGGGAACATGAAATGTGACCCAACATTCTGGGAAGATTCCCACGCAGAAGAGTAAAAGGAAGCTTGCGAGCCATCCAGAGAGCCAGGAACTGCTGTCCGCTCTCCAGGAAACCAAGCACTAACTGTTTCACACACACTAAGCTGTGTGTCTATGTGTGTATTTAAAAACAAACAACAAAAACCATACAGAAATCCTTTAAATTTGGTTGATAAAACGGAACCAAAAAAAATTGGTAAGGGGTCTGCTTATTTTACTCTTCAATATTCTTGCTAATTTTCACTTATAAGTCCAACCTGGTTATTATTAAGGTACAGAAGCACGCACACTCAAAGAGGAAGCTCGTCTCTGCTCCACAGCTCATACTACTCTAGTTCTGTCTTCCAGGAGTCATCACCAATCACAAACATTTAAAAAAATGTTCAGTATCCCATGATATCCAATTAAATATTTACTCCTGTCTTTTTGGTTGACTCTAATTCTTAACTACTAAGAAGTGAGATGATAAATTCTGTCTTGGACAAACTGTTTTCAGGGAAGCATGGACAACAGTGGAATCTTGCACTGACCATCTTCAGGAACAGAGATCTTTTATAATTTGGAGCTGAAGGGAGAACTGGACGGACACGTGCTCTTCCCATTTAACAGGTGGGGAAATCACGTGGCTAAGCAATAAACAAAAGCCCTCGATGGTCGATAACCTGGCCGCCTTCTCTAATGCCAAGACACAAATTTGCTCTGTCCTCCACGGACAATCCAGACCTCATCTGGTTATACCCACTTAAGTCCTAAGAAAATCAAGACTGGCCTGGAACTCTTACCTGGTCATACTAGACATTTTTAAGACCGTATTTATTGTGGAAATCTAAAAGAGAAGACAAAAGAATAAATATTTTTCTTTAATTATCAACTATTTGGGACAAATATATTTAATGCAAATAAGGATGCAAAAAGGAGAAAACACTAGGATAAAACTGGTGACCATGACCAAATCAAGTGCCCCTAACCCGATGGTTCTCAGCTGAGGGCAGTTCTGCATCCCCCCTGCCTGGACATGGGGCAACGTCTGGAGATATTTTTAGTTGTTACGAGGGGAGGGGATGCTATTGGCACCAAGTGAGTAGAGGTACAAGATGCTGCTAAACATTCTATAACGCACAGGACAGGCCCCACGACAAAGAGTTATCCATCCCAAAACGTTGACAATACCAAGACTGAAAACCCTGCTCAACGGGTAGGTGAGAAAACAAGTTTACTAATCCACCCCAAGGAGGAGGTGAGCTATGACCATGTGAGCAAAGGAAATCCAGACTCCCTAAAAGCTAATGTATTTTTTTCTCCTTTCTCATAAATAAGTCTACAAAACTCATTCACAGTTTTTTTAAAAAAAGCATCCATTTGTTTGCGGAAAATCCATGTTAAAATAGCTCCTTCTTCCTTCAATTCTTTGTAACAAGAGACTTCCCTTAACAGCAAGATACCAGCTCAGTTCCCTCTCCTATGGTCACTGTCACGTCAGCCAGCCTTGACATCCTATCTATCCAGTAATTCAAGGTGTCTTAAGTCCAATAAATGGAGTCCCAGTCCTAAATTCAATCAGGTGAGAACAGTCTTTCATTCTTTAAAAAAAAAAAGGGGGGGTTGGGGTTGAGGGTAAGGGTAGTGAATATAACCTAAGCTCACTTGAATTGTCCTAGAATACCTCATCAATCTGAGCTCATTCAGGTAACCTGGAGCAGAAATAACCATGCTTTGACTTTTCTTCCTACAACTGTCCTTTCATCAACATTCTGAATGAATTGAGACACCAAAAAACTAACTGCATAAAACTGAGAGATACTTACTAAATGTGGGTGGAGGTCCAGTTCATGAAAAGCATCTGAAGTAAACACTTTTTCTTGCACCTGCTTTACTACAGGTCTGCAAACGATGAACATAAACCCAGGCATCAGTTCCAGTAAACGAAAAAAAGGCAGAATACACTTAATTCCTTTTATTCCTGAGATGCATCTGCACCTAGACATACCTGTGGAGCTCTGGAATTTCAGGGTTGTTTTTAAACAATGACGAAGTCTTAACGCACGGTTTCTGCTCTTGGTTTCTGTCACTTGTACCGGCCGAAGACTTCTTTGGAGAAAACGTTTTCTGAGGCTTCCCCTTAAAAGTCCTTTGAGCTTCTTTAGCAGTTTTCTTGGCTGGGAGAAATGATGTCTTGCTCCTCCGTTTCGCTGGAGGAGCCTCACTGGACGCTTGGTACTTTCTTTTGGTGGCCTCTGCTTGCTGCGTTGTTCCCAAAAGGAAAGAGCAACAAGAGATGCATTAGTCCATGAAGACAGCCCTCGAAGTGAAGCCTGACTGCCCACAGAATTGCCTCTCTCCCTGCAGAGATCATTATGCCCCATATGTCAAGCAACAGTTTAGGGTCTGCAATCAGATTCATTGACTCAGCTTTTTTTTTCAAAAAGGGAAAAAAAAACCCCACAAAATCTCAGCCCATTCATCCACTAGACCTCACCATCCATCCTAAGAGTCAACTCAACCGAGATGCAGGGGAGGATCAAGAAGGGAGAAACATTTTTCAGGCTGAATGTTAACAAATGCAGTCCGTCTTAAGGAAAGAGAGAACCTAGCTACCTTGTGAAGTGTACACGCTAAGTCAATCCACATCCCTAGGAATCCATTTACACGAGAAGAATGGGGTGGGGGGCGAATCTTTTCTATCTATCAACAAAGCCAGTCGGTGTCTACCTGCGGGCTGCTGCGTCCCAGCTCATGCCCAGGAAGCAGAAACCTTGATTACTGCTCTACCCCGAGTGCTTGGATGGCTGGCATTCTCTCCCCTCAAGCTGCTCCCCCAGATTCAGTGGCTTGGAGACAATTGCTACTCGTCATTTCCAATCCAAATGAGAATTCTGCTCCATCCATCACTTCTATCACAATTATATCCAACTCTCCCTGCCTTTCATTTCCCCATCTGATCACCGATTACAGGTTACATTAGATATTTTCTTGCCTGTTGCTTTTTATTTCCAGAACACGAATGCGGTTAAACGCATGATGTCCAAACTTCCATAGGAGAAGAAATACCCGATTCCTCCGTTTTCTTTGGCCTTCTCTTCCAATTTACACGTGAATATAAACATCCCGTGAGTAGCCAGTGCTTGCTATTCTGCAGTCTTGGTTCCCCTTGGAATATGCTATTTTCCTCTTTGCTTGAAATGATGATTCCCACTTTACACATCAGCTTGCTTTAGCCATGACTGTCGGCTCCGGACTAACCTAACAACAGTTCTTTGTTCCTGGCAACCATAAGGACTCCTATAACTAAGCAATTCAACAAATGCAATTCCAAATATTTAATATTAATAAGGTCAATACTGACCTACTTCATTTTGTAAGTTTATTTTTACAAAACCCCAAGTTTATGAATTTTCAGATTAAAGAAAGAGATGAAGTCAAGTTTCAGGTCTGTTGAATCATCTGCAAGGTGGAGTGAAATGTGCAGATTTTTCCTGATTTATAGAATCACAGACTCTCAGAGTATAAAAAGGGCTAAAGGCCACTCCCATGCACAGACCCCCTGTTACTGGCTCCCGGACAGGTGGCCTTGCAGTTTCTGCCTATACACCTCCTCTTACTGTTCTCCATCCCTTGACGCAGAGCAAAGTCTAGGGGTTAGGAAGCTGATTCTGACATTCAGGCGAGATCTGCCACCTTGAACATCTACCTATCAGTCTGCAGTATGGCTTTCTGCAAGAACACAGAACAAGCTTACTTCCTCTTGTACATAATACTCCTTCATATGTCATATAACTCCTTTTTTCCTTCTTTTTTGGACTAAATATTCCAAATAGGACACAAACTTTAGATCCCTTCTCATCCTAATCATCCTTTATTCCCATGTCAACTTCTCCGAAAGCAAGCATTCAGATTAAGCACAGTATTAGACAGGCTTTCCATTGCTCTTAGGCTAAAACCAACAATGTGTAATATGACCTACAAAGCCCTCTAGAATCTGGTCTCTCCCCGCCTCACCAGTCTTACCTGTACCCTCTGCCACTCTGGTCTTCCTTAGTTCCTAGAATGTACCATGCTCCTTTCCTCCTCAGGGCCTTTGCACATGCTATTCTCACAAATATATCTCCAACCCTTTCTGTTGGCTGGCTAACACATACTCATCCTCCAGACCCAGGCTTACTGGGTCCTCATAAGAGCCTTTCCTGACATCCTCTCTCTACCCAGTCAAGACAGAATTCCCATTTTTGGCTCTCCTGGACTTATTCTCCTCTGTAGCACTCAGTACAACAACAAGCATAGAATGTAATTCATTGTGTGGTGCCTGTCTTCCCCATTAGACTGTTAGCTCCATAAAGAAATGGATAAGTCTGTCCTACAGAGCATTGAATCCTCTGCATGGGCCTGGGTTGGGCACAAAGTAAGTGCTCAATAAATACTTGTAAAATGAACAAAAGACACATAATGGAAATATCCCTCTCTGCAATCTGGACACTCCTCTATTTGTTAGCTTTTTTCCCCAAGCATCCACAACATATTCATTTAAAAAGGTGACGACTTAGCAGCTGTCAAGGAGCTTGATTCTGAAGATACAAAGCTGGAAGATTAGCCCTTGAGGTAGTGACAGACAGTAGAAGAGGCAAAGTATAAAATCACAAATCCAAAGGTCTCCTTGTACAATAAAAGAGACATGTACAAAGGGTTACGGGAGCACAGAATAAGAAGACTATCACGGCCCGCAGCGAGGGGAGGGAGGAAAGGAAACAGGGATGCTTCACGAGGGGCATTTGGGCAGAGACGAGCAGGGACACTTCTGGATCTACTATAATCTAGCTGCACAACATTAAGCAACTCACTTCTCTCTAAGTCTCTGTTCCTGTTCCTGTAAAATGAGATTATGGCAGACGACCTCAAGGGCCCATCTAGCCCTAAGAGTCTAAATCCTATGTCTTGGATATTAATAAACACATTGATAAACCCAGTTACTAAATGCCAGGCAGTACGCTAAGTACTTACACGAAGTATCTCATCTATCAATACGGTACTGTATTACCCCATTTTAAGATGAGAACACTACGGCAGAGATGTGAGGTGTCTGTCCCAGGATCACTCAGGGATCTAAGCTTTGTCCGCGCATTTATTCCACAGCCTGGGTTCCTGACAATGATGCTATAATATCATTTATCAACCGTGTCCTGTTTGGTTAGAAAACATCACACATAGTTTGATCCCTGTTTTGTTTCGAGTTCTTGTTTTCTAGAAGGGTATACACCAAAACGTTAACCTGAATTATCTTGAGTACGGCAATCACGGGTAGAGGCTTTTAGCCTACTTTCCAAATTTCCTACAATATATATGTATTACTTTAACAATCAGAAAACATTTTTAGAAAGAAAATATTTTCCATAGTGTTAGATATAGCATAACTTAAGCTGTCAAAGTCTTTCCAAATCCCATATATTAGCTACCTATCCCAAGTGCAGGCTACTGGCAAATTTGATCAGCATATCCTTAATTCTCATCCAAGACATAAACAAAAATGTAGATGCAGACAAAGCCACTGTGGACACTGTCATCACTTCATTAATTAATACCCTTTTGACACAGCAGTTCAAGCAATTATAAAACCAGATACCATATGTTTATTTACTCAATTCATTCAACAAAGTTTTAGTAAGTACTTCCCATGTGTTAGTTACTATGCGTGTACATGGCACAAGCACCCACACTATCTCCTGATGTAGCAATTCTATTTCCCAAAATGGAACCAGTATGATTTTATTTATTTTTTATTATTGGCATTTATTAAGTGCCTCTATGGACCAGAAAGCATATAGTCTTTATGTGTATTATCTCATTTAATCCTCATAATAACCTTATATAAAGTAAAAATTATTGTTCTCATTTTATTGATAGGAAAACTGAGGACCAGAGAGGTAAAGTAATTTCCCCAAGGTCACAGAGCTGGAGCGTTGCAAGGCTGGCTGGCGTCTAATGCCAGGTCTGTCCAACTCCAAATCCCATGCTCCCGATGGCTCCTCTGTGCTTCCCCTTCCCCCTCCGGTGCAGATGCTGCTCCATCACTGGCTAGCGGACAGCTCCTTACTCCCAAACCTCTAAACTCTGAATCCAGACAGTGGGCGTTGGCTGGTGTGAGGTGACATGAACCCAAGGAATTTCAGCTTCAACACAATGGTTGAACAGGACTGAACTTCGGCAATTGACTTGTCAATGGAATTATCTGCTACTTTTTCGAGAAAACACACACACACCTTCGTTGGGACGAGAATGTATCCTTCCTGATCTTTGAGGTAAGGTGATTGTACAACAGATTTTCTGCCCTGTAACCCTCTTCTTTTCTAGGAGATAAGTCAACCATCCTAGAGACCAGTTTTCAACTCTGGCTTGGGTTAAGTTTAAGGCATCTTTCTCTTCTCTAGTGAGAGGATTACACTGATGAGTTGTATCTTTTTCACCTCCCTTCCCACCCACCCCCACCCCCCATTGGACGTGGATGAAAATCCATCCCATGTTTGAAAACTCTTGAAAGAAAATTCTAATTTCCAGTCCTCATTCCTGAAACAAACGACCCTTAGAGTCGAGGAAGCCGTGGCTGAAAGAAGAGACGTGGCTGGTAAGTGACAGGGCTGGGACTCACGCCCGCGCACCAGTTCCTAACTTCTACGGGAAACAGCCTGCAAACCCTTGCACTACCTACCTTTAGAGTCCTCCAACTAGCAGCCCGAGCCAGCTCCCGTCCACACTCGCTCCCTCCAAGAACATTCCCGCGGGGGTGGGGGGTGGAGGGGGAGTTCCGGGCTGAGACACGTGTTGCTCAGCGACTCCTCCAGAAGCTGCCTGAGGTCTGATTTTCCCCCTTAACTCCATAAACAATTCAGAACCCAACCCAGAGGCAAGGCGGCAGCTCGCGGCGCGCCCCGGGCCGGGCCACCGGTACGGATGGGTCTGAACCCGGGTCAGAACTCACCCGCCTCTCCCGGGCCCGGCGGGGTTTGGAGAGCGTCCTGGGGGCGGCGGCCTGGGGCTCAGAAAAGTGGAGAAGCGTTCCGTCGGCGGCTGCCATGGCCGGCGGGGAGGCTCGTCCGGACCTGGCGAACCGGGCCCGCCGCTCCGCTCGGGCCCACGTGGGACGCGCACGAGGACCCCGCGTAGCTGCCCCACCGGGTCCTGTAGCCGCGCCCCTTCCGGGTCCCGGACGCACGGTCCGCACCAGTGAGCAGAGCCGAGGGCTGCGGCCGCAGGGTGGGCAGCGGCCGCAGGCTGGCGAGTGTGGCCGCCCTCTTGGCGTCCTCCGTGGCTTGGCCTACGGCAGGGGGTGCCAGGTCACACTCAAGCCCAGTGTTCATGCTTGTGAAGTTCTCTGAATTCCTGAGAAACGAGAAGAGGCCGTGCGCCATGTAACCAACGTTTCCCTCCGCACTTGAGTAGCTAAGGCATAGCTCGCTGCCCCAGGAGGTCCCTAGAAGGGTCTGGGCATTGGTCACCCGGAGAGGGAGGTCTTCGAGGCTCCCTGCCCCTCGCCCACCCGCAGCCGAGCCCGGGCGCTTCGGTCCAGCTCGCAGAGGAGGCGTGTTTTCTAGACAGGCAGCGCCTTGGCCACCTGGCAAGGCTGGGTCGCCTAGCAACGGCGGGGTCCTTCTTGGCTCGGCGGCGCTCCGGGCCTGAGGGGAGGAAACCGCCGCGGAGGGCGCTGGGGGCCGGCGGCGGCGTTGCGGGAGGCGGCAACAGGACGGCGACGCGGGGTTGGCGCGCCCGGGGGGCCGGCCTCTGCACCTGAGGGGAAATGAACGCGGCCGAGAAGGCCCGGGTGGGGCGGGCGGCCGACGGGCCTGCGCCGCCCGAGGAGGAGGAGGGCGAGGCGGGCGGGAAGGAGCCGGCGGCGGACGCGGCCCCCGGGCCCAGCGCCGCGTTCCGCCTCCTGGTGACCCGGCGGGAGCCGGCCGTGAAGCTGCAGTATGCAGTGAGCGGCCTGGAGCCGTTGGCCTGGTCTGAGGACCACCGCGTGTCCGTGTCGACGGCCCGCAGCATCGCTGTGCTGGAGCTCATCTGCGACGTGCACAACCCGGGCCAGGACCTGGTCATCCACCGCACGTCGGTGCCCGCCCCTCTCAACAGCTGCCTCCTCAAAGTAAGTCATCCGCGGGCCCCGGCCCTGGACTCTCCTGTCCCCCTCGCGCGGCCGCGTCACGGTCCCTGGGGAGTCCTGGCCCACCCTAGTCCGGGGATTCTCCTCCTCGCACCCAGCGCTTAGGGCTAAGCGGCTAGAGTCGCCGTAGCTTAAGAATCAAACAGACAAAAACATCTTGCAGCCGTTTGTGGCCAGGTTCCGGAATCACCCGCCCCCTTCCGACACACACATATATCCTGGGATGTCCCTTCGGAGCCGGGTCCTCCCTTCGCCCCCGCGTCTGGCTGGCTTCTGGCGCAGATCACTCTTGGTCGTGCTTTCTGAGACTCCACCCCCTGTTGACCCAACCCCAGACCTGCCTCTGTTGTTGCTCCTTTTGTCTGGGAGCGACTCCCAGAGGCCCTTGGCTGGCTTTGTTTACTATGACGTGCCCTCCTCTTGCGCCCTGTTTGCTTTGAAGAAGAAAAATTGGTCCTTTCCATTGTCTTAACTATTTCAGCGACTTTCTTGTGAATACTCTTTGCTTCTCAGCTTGAGTAGATGGGTAAATACTGGATCTCTGGGTTTGTACTCCAGTTTTTCTTTAATAACTAAACACTTTTAGGATGTAGAATGAAAAAGTTTCTGGAAATAAATGCAGTTTTTAGCTTCAAGTCCAAGGTCTCTGTCTAGATTTAGTGCTTTCAGCTTCATGCAAACTAAATTTGCCTTCAGAACTTTAGGGTTCCTAAAGTTTTACTGTTTTAATATCATTTTCAAGTTTTTTTTTTTAAGTACTAAGTCATATGGTTCACTTTAGTGGTTTAAAACTTTCCCTATTTCCTTTATAGATCTGTATGCGTATTTGTGATCTATCAAAGTGTGCATTCACTCATTCAACAGATGTTTGAATACCGCTATGTATCAGCTAGGCACTGATCTAGGTTCTGAAAGTAAAGCAGTGTACAAAACAAAGGCCCTGTCCTTGTGGAGCTTACATTCTTTGGCAAGTCATGAACAAATAACAGTAGTGAAAAATGCTGTAAAGATACGTATCTACATACAGAGAACTATTTATGTGGTGGCGAGGTGTTTTTATGAAAACTCTTACTCTGCACAGCCATTTTATTTATTTTTTGAGGAAGATTAGCCCTGAGCTAACATCTGCTGCCAATCCTCCTCTTTTTGCTGAGGAAGACTGGCCCTGAGCTAACATCCATGCCCATCTTCCTCTACTTTATATGTGGGACGCCTACCACAGCATGGCTTGACAAGCGCTGCCATGTCCACACCCGGGATCCCAACCAGCAAACCCTGGGCCGCCAAAGCAGAATGTGAGCACTTAACCACTGCACCACCAGGCCAGCCCCCTCTGCACAGCCATTTTAAATATGAATCATTAACTGTGGGTAGGATGCAGGGAGCCCAGACCAGTGTTTACATAGTTGATTCAAGTTTTAAACAGACACCTTGGTGTTGTGTTAGATAATTGGTAAACTTGTATGACTAAGCCTTCTGAGGTATTTTTGGGGAAGATATGAACAAATTGGTTAAAGTATAAACAAATTAGGCGGACAGAAGGTGATAATGCTATGAAATTCAGAAACACTCAAGGGAGGCAGAAGAAGGGGATTTTAAAAGGTGTATCCTCTGCTGAAAAGGAACTTAACGGTTTCCAAGGGTGTTCATATACACATCAGAGAAAATTTTAAGTGTGTGTCAGTATGGTAGAGATTTAATGTTTTAGCAGAGAGAATTTAAAGAAAGGAAGAGTATAGTGAGGGGAGGTGCTTATCAAAGAAGGTTATCTGGTGGTGACTCTGCAGCTGTCCTAAAAGAAGGCAGGTTTGGGGTTGTAAGAGGAAGGGAGGAAAGGGTCATCCAGGTGGCAGGAATGAGATGTCCCTCTCATGTACATACATATGTAAGTCATGAACATGATTTACTGTTGTTTGTCTAGGTAATGATGGATCAACAGATGAGCTCAAGTTGCTTTTCTAGAGTCAGAGGAAGTGAAGTGAGGCCAATTCAGGAACTTTGGAGATCAGGCTGAGGGAGTTGGCTTCAATCTAGGAAACCATAAGTTGCTGTTACGGTATCATGTACAGACCTGGTATGGTTCAGGAATATGAGTTTGGCTGGATTTGAAGCAATAAGATGTTTGTTGGGGTCACTACAAAATAGGGGTTAAGAAATTGGATTTTGGCATAAATTAGGCCTATCTATAAAAGAAGAATAATAAAACCCACCTTGTTTAGACTTTTTGAAAGATTAAGTTAAATATGTGTGTATATATATGGACATTTATGTATGTACACACATACACACACCCACATAATCACTTTGCACAGCTCCTGGCACACTGTAAACGCTCAAGTTAAAAAAATGCAGTCATACAGGTATTAAGGAATGAGTCTGAATTAATGCTGCGGCTATGGATATGAAGATGTCCTTAGTATTCTCATAAAAATTTGACTCCATCATTAGTTCCACAACTGTCTAACAAGTAATAGGAAATCTTTATATATCCCTCTAATAATTGGTAGATAGCGTGCCTGAAATTAATTACTGGCATCTTCCCCTTCGGTACTGTTTGGAATGCACATCACACGCACTGTCAGTTAGCAGTCTTAATTAGACTAGGACTGCCTGGTGAATGAATGCTGAGTCGTCCCTGCAATTCTAAGAGGCCTCTGTGGGATCAAACTGTGGTGCAGTGGTAGGAATGTAAAGAAGTCTGTGTTCAGTACCTTGATGGCGCTACCCATTGACAGTCCCTGGGGAGTTGTCTACTCAGTGCCGTCCCGCTTGCCTTTGCTCTAACACAAAACATGGGCATTCTGCAACCCAGAGCACAGTATTAGGGTGTGGCACTGCTCGAAGGCCACATGCTAACCCCCTTAGAAGCTTCTGCTCTGTGATTCTGTTATTTAGGTTATGAATATCTTTCAGAAAATATGCAGTTATAGACTAGTTCAAATGGTATCTGCAGTTTGCAAGTTACTGTCCTGGGCACTGAGGTTATGTGATATAAAGGTGAATGATAGAGCGTGGAAAAGCAATAAAATAGTGATTTAAGAATTAAGTTGCAGTTTTTCTTCCCTTTGGACTGCTGATTTAGTGAATGATCTAGTTGTATACAGTTCCAAATTCGAATAATATTATGTGTAGCTAATTTTATTGTGTATCAATTGTTAGAAGTTTTAGAAAGTATCAACTCCATCTAGCACATTAAGTTAAATAACTATTGCTTTTGAAATAATATTCCTGCCCTCAAGAAGCTTCCTGTCTAATAGCTTCAAATGAGTTTTTGTTAGGTGCTTACAAAGTCCATAGCTATTAACAGTAATAGTGGCCAACTGGAAACGGGATAGTATGTAATTAAATGATTGGCTGGGGGCGGGCCTCTAGGAGCTGGACTCTTAAGTGGTATGCTCCTTGGGCATCTGAGCACTTGTTTTATTTTGTTAACTTGCTTTGTGATGTGGAGAGTTGGGGGGAGGTGCAGTAGGCTAATTCAAACTAATATGTTAGCAATTACTATACAGAACCATAAGGATGTTCCCTGCTGGTTGAGATCCATGCTGCCCTCCATCCTATCGAGAATTCTTCCTACAATGAGTAGGACCAAGGGTTGCTTGAGCTTCCTTATTTCATCCTGTGCTGCTGCTCTGGGTTACAAATTCTGTAAGTTTACTTTTAGTTCTATGGTAGCTTTTTATTTGTAGTAAATTTACCTATTCTAAGGATTATTGCTGAGTTTATTATGGTGTTATAGGATTTGATGAACAATTTTATATCTGCCCTTCATTTGGTGGACAACTTAATATCTCCCCTGCATTTTGCATACTTTTATTAGGTCTCATTAGCACTTAGTTAATTCTCAGAGAGTATTAATAATTATCATCATGGCTAACATTTATTGAGCACTTATTAATGTGTGCTCTGCATGTATCGACTTACTTAGCTTTCCTAACTCTATGAGACATGTATTATTATTCTCTTTTTAGTTGAGGAAATTACAGCCAGAAGGTTTAAGCAACTTGGATGGGATCACAGAGCTAGTATGTGATAGAACCCTGGCTGTC